ACAGTACCCATGGAAGAAGCAGGGTGTAGTGGTGAGCTTGTAATCGCAGTACTGGGGAGACAGACAGGCAGATCCCTCGGACTTGACAGTCTGTAAGTTAGAGCCTAATGAAAGACCCTGTCTCAAAAAAAAAATTGCCAGTCTCTGAAGAAAGAGAGGGCATCACCAGAGATGCAACAGAGATTAAATCTAACAGAGATAACTAGGTTGGACTCAGGAGCTAACTTGAAATGATTACTGATGCCGAACGGGACCATTTCGGCACCAACACACAACAATGTAATGACCTAAACCATCTTGGGGGATGGATAGATGGTTCAACTGTTAAGATTGTTTACTGCTCTAGAAAAGTATAAGACAAGTTCTCAGCACCCACATGGAGTGGGCAGGGCTCACAACCACCCATGACTCTAACTCCAGGAGATCCTTCACCTTCTTCTGGACTTCACAGTCACTTACACCCATGCACACCTACCCACACAGAAAAACAGACACACAGCATTAAAAATAAAAATATACCTTATATGTTTAAATCTATGATGACTAAGAAAACTAACTCATAATCTTTGGTTGAGAGGGGGATAATATGGATTTTTAAAACTGACTAGGAGGACAATGGTGACCTAGACTGATGAGTGTGACAACCTATTCAAAATGGCGCTCTTCTGGGACTTGGCTATTGGCAAACACCATTGTTGTCATGCTTCACATGCAACAATTGAACCTAGAGAGCATGAGTATCGCTGGTGTGGAGTTAGCCATGTGAAGCATTTGGGTGGATGCCAAGACCATCAAGGCTCAGATCAGAGACACTGTCCCCCAGGAGCACTTGCCATCACCTTCACATACTACCCTGGTGGGGTAGGTGCATTGCTGGTTTATGACACAGCCAAACACATGACACACAAGATGTGGAGCACTGGATGAAGGAGTTGTGGGACTGTGCCGACAGCAACACTGTCATGTTTATGGGCACCACCTGCAGGCTATGGCCACTGACAAAACCTGTGCCTTTGCAAAAATGGACATGTCCTTCACTGGCATGCCAGTCTTGGATTCCACCAACAAAGAGGACACATGCAAGAACATCACAGAAATCAATCCTGCTGCATTAAAGAAGCAGATCACTGACCACATGACTTGATGTGAGTTCCTGGCAACAATGTGCTGAAATCACCATGCCACCTACCCCCGAATGACACCTAGCAAGCTTCAGTGCCACCAGAACCTGTGATCACCCTGCATCTCTACCCAGAATGCATGCACGTGCTCTATTCTTGGTGTTAGCTAGCACCACTGTCCTCCCGGCTACTGTCATCCCTCTGGAACAGTCTGCTCCCATTCTCCTAGGGAATGCTGCCTCCCAGTCAGCTGGCCCAGGAAGAGCAGAAGTGGTATCTCTTGTCCTGCCTACTCAAGAGAAGCCAGAAGGCCCTGCTATTTATCTGTTCTTCAGTCTTATGGGCATATTGTTAGGCTGGTAAGGCTGGCAGGCTAGACAGGACCAACCAGAAGAAAGGAAGCTAAGCAGAAGGAGTCAAGCTTCTCCTAATTTTCAGGGCAGACTCCACAGAGTGCTCACCTCCTTTCTTCTCTGGCCTGTTGACCCAGCTGGCCTGAAGCCTCTCTCTCTTTTTTTACAGAGTTTTTTTTTTTTTTTTATGTATACAATATTCTGTCTGTGTGTATGTCTGCAGGCCAGAAGAGGGCACCAGACCTCATTACAGATGGTTGTGAGCCACCATGTGGTTGCTGGGAATTGAACTCAGGACCTTTGGAAGAGCAGGCAATGCTCTTAACCTCTGAGCCATCTCTCCAGCCCCCTGAAGCCTCTCTTTGCTAATACTCAAAGAACCAGGCATGAGGGGCTGGACAGGTAGACAATCTGGGCTCTGCCTCCTACCACCACACCAGCATATCCAGCACCAACCAGCATGGCCTCAGGCATTCCCTGTCTGCCCACTGCAGGTGACTTCTATAGATTTATGCTAGGGGAAGACACCTCTCTGTCTCTCTCCCTCCTCATACCTTGGTGCCCTCCCTCTGCTTACCCAACCCACCTTGTCTGTGTCATGTTTCTGCCTGGTCAGGAACCTGTTTGCAAGTGAAGCAGTATCTCTTTTCATAACAACTGTTCTTTGGTTTTTGTTATTATAGAGCAGTGTTTCTCAACCCGCCTAATGCTGTGACCCTTTCACACAGTTCCTCATGTTGTGGTGACCCCCACCATAAAATTCATTGCTCCTTGATAACTGAAATTTTGCTACCATTATGAATCATAATGCAGATATCTGTTTTCTAATGGTCTTAGGTAACCTGGTGAAAGGGCCATTCTAATTATGGCTTTAATTTTTCCTCTCTGTTCTTCTGGCCCTAAACATTCAACCCATCTCACACTCTGCTTTACCTGAGATAAAGTTCTGATACCTAAAAACTGAACATTTAACATCCTGAAGAGGCCAATTTGAATGCCAAGATTCTGATGAAATTGTTACATCTGCACCTGTGTCTATAAGACCATCAATGATGTTATTTATTGGTATCTTTAATTTTGATCTTTGTTCATTTGTAAAAGTTTGCCAAAATACTCACTTTATGGTTTCTCCTGAATTTTTTGTTCTCTCTTCTGCAGCTGTTCTATTATCCAGAGCAGCAAGATTTCTTATGATAGACATTAGGTTCTTTGATTGCTCTGGGAAGGAGTTTCCTCCATAATGACAGGAAATGACTTAACCGGATTTGGCATAAGGACTTGTGAGAGGTCCCTCACAGAGTTTTCAGATGGGAAAGGATTACCTTAAATATTCCCCGTTGACCTACATTCCTTAGCCCAAAGCCTACTTTTGCCACACCTTCTGCATAACCTAGAAGGGAGGGGTGTTCTAAATGGATTATTCTTAGAAAAGAACCTTGTTTCTAGGAATGCCCCGTCTACAATCCCTTTTAAGGTGAACTTGTTTGCCATAATTATAACATTTGACATTTCAATTTTTCAAACCTCTGGAAGTCACCAATCTTATCTAAGCATCATGTTCATGACTCTCATTTTTTTTGTTTTTATTGAGTTATATATATATTTTTTTCTCCACTCCCCTCTTGCTCCCCCCTCCCCTTCTACCCTTTCCCATGTTGCTCATGCTCCCAGTTTACTCAGATCTTGTCTTATTCTACTTCCCATATAGATTAGATTTACGCATGTCTCTTAGGGTTCACTTTGTTGTCTAAGTTTTCTGGGATTGTGAATTTTAGGCTGGGTTTTCTTTGCTTTAAAGACATTCAATATTAATTGTATCTCAAATCCATTCCTCCAAATGTACTGACCTTGCCTTTAACGGTCTAATTATCCTTTTTTGCATAGAGAATTGGCATTTTCAAAAGCCAGAGATTCAATTATTTGTCTAGCTTCTAAATTTGGTATCATTCTATTTAGCTGAAATCCATAAAGGCTTCCTTTGGGTCTTGTATAACTTCAGTACTGATTAAATTTTCTTTCCTATTTCTCCATTTCTATCCCAAGCATTCAAAGCTGCTGCATGGCATAAATCCAGGGTGTGGTCATCATAAAAGTTGCTTTTCTATAGTAGTATTCTCCAAAAATTTGATCTTTCTACCTCTAGCTTTACTCTGTTGTTCAATAATCTTAACCTAGTCTCTGAACCAGGATTTCAACTGTAATTGCACACCAGGTTCTAAAACACCTTTAACAAATTCTATCCAGTGTTTAGGAATAATTCTATTACAAACTGACCATGAGTTCAATATTTGCTTCACAAAAGGTAAATGCATGCCATATGAAACTATTGCGTCCTTAAATCTCCTTAAATATAACATCGGCACAGGAGTCCAGTTAGCCGTAACAGAGCCTCTGCCATTTGTCAATTCCTGTAAGGTTACTGGATATATCAAGGTTAGTTATTTGAAAACCTTAGACTGTTTCTCTCTATTCTTATAATGCAATGCTGAAATTGGTTCTTCATTAAATTCCTGTGTCTGGATTTGAATATCTGTGACATCAATAGTTGCTATTAAGTCAAAAGCAGGAGGAAGCCTGACTCCATCACTCCCAAGCATTCCGAAGATAACTGTGCTCTTAAAAGGAGAGAGGGCAATGGCTGTGAAAGTTTCCAAGAGCATCAGTTCCCTCCGAGTTCTAACATACAATTCACTGGGCAACTGGGAGGAAATCCAATTTAGAAGGGTAAAGGTGGAAGAGAACAAAACAAGTGTATATATCCAAACCCCTCCAAACCATTTCCAAAAACAAATGCATGCTGAGTGAGATTCCTATTGTGATAATCAACCAAACTATAATGCCAAGGTCAGTTCTTAAAAAGAGCAGAGAGTGATATTAACCAGTGTTTGTCTTCTGTTTCCCTTAGCAGAGTGGAGACTACCGAAGGACAGAACATTTCACCTGTCTATCCCACACCAGACTACAGTTAATGAAGTCTACCTAGCACAGTGCCCAAGATATAACGAGCACATACATACTTGCAGGCTAAGAGAGGGAATTCAGATTAAAAAAAAAAAAAAAGCTCAAAGGTCACTTCAGGTCTAAAAGTTATAGAGCATTAAATAGTTAGATCAAGATTAAACTATGCCTTTACTGTAGTTCCCTATGGAAACTAAAACTGGATAAATAAAATCCAACTTTATTTCCAATGTCCTCAAAGTCTGTGCCCCAAAAGCAATTTTAAGGTCTTTTTTAAAAGTAAACATTCAGATATAAAAACAATGTTTGAAATAATGTACTTGTTTCTGTCCAACATAGTTTAGACAACAAAATTTCCAATTAAATTAAAACTATACTCTCTCAACGGGAAGAAGAAAGCCTTTCAGTTAAGAAATCCAGAGGCATAATTAAAATCTAAAGAAAACATAACAAGATGGCGGTACTTACTAAGCACAACATGCGCTCGTTGTAGAACTAGGCACTTCAGAAAGACAAGCAGTCCTGCAGATGCAGCCCACAGCACTCGCAATCATGCGAAAGAAAGACGTGTTTTTCTTATCATCTTTATTCAAGTATTTCACAGCAGTTATATTACAAATTACAGTAAATGTTCAAATTCCAGAATTCAAAAATTAAATAATTTACTCCAAACTAATGTAAAATGAAGTCAAATGTAAAACATCAATTTAACACAATTCTAAATTAAACTACAAACCCAAAATAGACTGTAGTTGAAGTCTACTTAATCTACAAAGTAGATATACATGACCAAAACCAAATAGGACTCCCAAAGTCTAAACAACCAAATGTACAAAATATAAAAGATGCAGGTACAAGCCCAAATTCAAGCTTCCAAAATGGTTACAAATAATAATTATAACAGCAATGGCATTCAGCTACGGGACCTGACACTGAAGAAACCTACTGATTAGCACCATAGCTGAACCAACTTAAATCAAAACAAGGGAAGATAAGAAATTACCACCCCACTCCCTAAAAATAAAATCCAGTAAACCTACAAATACATTGGCATATGAGAAAAATCAAGTCATGAAAGGACATTAAAAAAATTAATCACAGGTAAGATTCAAGCTCAAAAACACAATTTATTCCACAGCCATCAGTTTCAAACCTAATGCAGTTCCATCATCTTCAAGAAGCTCCCAGGGTTCCAACAGCTGAGCATGAACTTTTGCTTGGCTGGGCTACATAATTTGTTTATCTGAGAGCAAGGTTTTACACAGGCGCTTATCACATATAATGCTCACATAGGAAGTAAGAACAGAGGTCAATTTGTACAATATTTTTGCCAATGCTATACAGCAAAAATTAAGAACTTTACAGAAAGGTAAACAAAACTGACTCAACTTGGATAATTTCACAAGCTGCTTTTATTTATAGAACCACCAGATAGCTGTAAAACTGGTATAGTATGTTTCTCTTTGGGGGGAAAGGGGCCTGAAGAGTTGGTGCGATTTCAGTTCATCTCCCCCCTTGGCATGAGACTGGCTTTGTCTTTGAGACCTAAACTGTTCAAAGTGGCAGTTCCTATACTGAGTTTTCCTCTGATTTCTCCATCTATATCAAGGATAAACATAAAACAAGATGTGATCTTTTGATAGCATTTTTAATGCTTAAATAAATAAATTTCCTTTGTCAAACTCACTGATGGCTAAAATCTTAATTCACGTGCAAGATTCGGAAACCTTAGAACATGTGCGGTTTTCCTCCATTCACAAGTGCTGCTGTTACTTGAACAGAATGCTTCTGAAGTAGAGAAACTGGAATAAATACTAAAGAAGAAAATAGCACAGCAAGAACCTGAGACTTGCAAAAACCCTTTTACCAGAAACTCGCTACAAAAAATCTGCTACATCTTATTTCATCAAATCTTTAAATTCTGTAACAATTTCCATCAAAATACAAAATGCTAATGTATTAGACAGTAAAATAGTTTGCACTGGTATGATGGTAATAAATACTAAATAAAGCATGAAAATCCTCCCAATAATCAAATTAGAGGTTTCAAATCACCTCCCCTTTAAAATGGTTCATCGTTAATCACACTTGCCCACCTTAAAAATACAGTGTGTCTACATGGTAGCATCTTGAATTACATGACTAACTAAATGTCATGAAAACCTCAGACCAGGTATAAAGAAAACAAGGATCATCCAAAAAAAAAAAAAATCAAGCTAGAAGACGGTGAACATGAAGGTAAATGCAAAAGCACTTGGGATTACTGCAGTAGCTGAGGCCAGCACGAGCTCTCTGCACACCACCACAGCCAGAGACAAGGAGACAGGTACCTTAGCTTCAGCGTGTAAACGGTGGCAAAGTGTTACAGGACCCTGTAAACACTGTTGGTAACTAAAAACAAAAGCTGAGGTAGCTCAGTATCTCTGCAGTAGTCCTCGACCATGTGCCCTAATTAAAACCCAAATATGTGTTGCATATATTGGAAAGACACACCTGCAGCTAACGGCTATAATAAAGGAATATAGCAAGCCAATTTGTCTGCAAATTTTTCTGTACTTTGTTTAAAAATTATCTCATAAAAAATGTCACTGCATTCCCTTTGCCTCTTTGCAACTGCCTAGACTGTGTCTCCAAATTCTTAGAAAGTTTTGTAAAATTAACAACCCATAATTATTTTCATAAGCACAATCCACAGAAATCACTCAACAAGATCCAAAATGATTCCAATCAAACTGAAACATTGTGAAGATGTGAGCATGGGACAGGGTTAAATGTTAACACTGTTATTCAAGGACATACCAGAGCTCACTTGCAGTTATACAGAAAATGAGTTTTAAAGAGTTTCAAACAAATTCCTCTTTTCTGTCCATTTGGCAAGTCCTGGCTTTAAAACAAAACAATAACAATTGACTATACATGAAAATCACTTTTCTCTGGTAACTCAAACATGAATAACTATTAAATTGCATCTGACAGAAGAATGGCCACCAACTATTTATTTTCTGGTCATCATTGTCAGCAATATGGAGAAGTACACGGGGTTTTGTGGACTGTTTATCATTTGCTGTTTTAGTGTGTGTTTTTTAACTGGAAACACACCACAGGAAAGAGGACAAACTAGCATATCACGTGGATTACTGAGTATCTTGATTGTTTTGAGAACAAGACAGGCATTTAATACAGAATACTCTTGTCTCTTAATGACACTGAGTATCAAAACTTATTTTCAAGGTTGTAACCAAATAAAACATTCTAATTAATTTGCTACAAATGAGCCCATCCAGTAAGCCTCATCTTTCTCAAATGAATAAAAAGGCACATTAAAGGCAGTTCTAAAGAGCCTAACCTAATTTCACCTAGTTTCTTCAGTTGTCCACCAGAATACACCATAGCCAATTCTAAAACAGGTCTTAGTCCATTACCTGGGGGTGAGGGGATGGGATATGATCAGAGATAGAAAAGAGGAACAGAAACAGAAAAAGCAGTTCGCCCACGATTTCCAACAATTCAGCACAATTAGAACTGCCCCATCCAGTTCCCTCTGGTATGCTGGTCTGCTCCCTAAGAGACTCTCCAAGAGGGCAGAAGAGAGGGGCAGAGCGAAAGCAGTTTCCGTAGCACCAGAATCTCCAAGCTGTGGGGTTGTATTTTTTATTTGTGGAAAATACAACATGTTTCTGAAGTTTTGTTTGGTTCTTGTAGGCTGGTTGGTTTCAGGTACCTGAGACAATAGCACCAAATTCAACAGAGAAAGAATGAGTGAGCGAGCACTTTACACCAAGGCTCTGCGCAGGATTGGTGCAATCTGAAAGGGAATGGCTCAGAAGACCGCTCGGCAGGAGCAGATTGGAGAGGAGAAACCACTCGTCTCACAAGTTCATAGGAATGTCTCAAACATATGAACCGTTCTTTCCATCTCCTGGAAGAGAAAGAAGTAACTGTTATCCACTATAGGAGACAAAAGAATTTCTCACCACAAAAGGCTCACATTAAACTTTTAGTAAAGAATTTGAGATACAAGTTCAAATTTGAATATTTTTACAACTCTTCTGTAAAACCATCTGCCCTAGACAATTCTAAGTACTGCTTATATTATTCTTTAGCAACAGGGATGGTAAAGATAGCATCATTCAATAATTTACGATGCCAGATACTGCACTAAGAAATATATTCCAGATGTATTTATATATGTAAATAAATAGGTATATAAGATATATATTCATGCCCATATGAAGTGTACATACATATATATAACTTAATTCCTACAATGATTTTGAAATCGTTGAAAGTATTTATTATAAGGCCCATTTAAAAAACAAACAAACAACAAACAAACAAACCTGAGGGAGGCACAGAAGAAAATAATCTGGTGGCCACTAAGTGGCAAGATCAGAATTTCATTTTGTTGTATTGTTTGAGAGAGAAGCTGCAGTAGACAGCCTTGGCTGGCTAAGAATTATTTATGTAGCCCAGGCAGAGGTCTAATTTACAATCCTTACAGTCTGGGCCTCCAGAGCCCTGTAACTGCAGGAGTCTACCACCACACTCAAAGTCAGAAGAGGGACTCAAGCAAGCTCAGGTCAGCATCTGTACCTCTCTTACTCAATACACCTTACTGACCACTAAAACCAACAGCATGTGTTCATTTCAGGAATGTTTATGACAAAATGAGGCTGTACCTTATTCCCACATCCCTCCTTCCATTCTATCCCAGATGATCAGGGAAAAGGGCTAAGGGAGCTGTTCACCACCACCAGCAACATGCACTGTTCATTCTACCAACCCTCCCATGCCTTAGAGTAGGCCTCTAGAGTATAAAGATAACAAATCCCACTCAGAGGAATATGCAGTTCATTCAAATTTCTTTGAAAAAGTTGTAGAATTAAAAAAAAAACATGCTCAGTGGTGGTGGTACATGCCTTTAATCCCAGAAATCGGAAGGCAGAGACAGATGAATCTCTCTGAGTTAGAGGCCACCTTGGTCTACAACATGGAAAAACTCTGTCTGGAAAAAAAAATACACACATACACACCCCTGTAAACTGTACTACATTAAGATAGACAAACACCAAATATATCTTTTCTACCTTCATACAGTTCTAACAAAATCTGATCTGTATCAATATTAAACAGATTATTATCTGATTAATCAGTTATTCTATGCGATCAACTAAAATCACCTACTCAATGGCTTATGATTTACTGCTGGGAAAGAAAATCAAATTATAAAGCAAAATATACAATATGATCAAAATTTTAAAAACAAACTCACACATTAATAGTAAGTATTATGGAAAGTTGGGTATTGTAAAACATTGGAAGACATTCCAAATGACTGTCAGGTCGTCAGGTCCAAAGTCCCTCCTTCCCCCAAAATAGAAGTGAAGTGACACTGCCCTAAACAGAACTACTCTGGCCAGGTAAACAGAAGAGTTGTTGCCAGGTACACAAGCCTAAAGGTTTCTATTTCCTGGAAAAGCAGATCTAAAATGGTTTCTGTTCACTAGAAACCATCCTTAATCCTCCGGGAATCTCCTTTAACCTTCCCCAAAGGTTAACTACCTCTAGCAAGGGCATCTAGGTCTGGATCAATCCGGACAGCCTGTATTAGCTCAGCTCACCATACTGCTGACTATTTTAAAATCTGCTTGCTTTTCCACCATTTTGCTCTTCTTTCTGCCTCCCTCAGATGGCCTTGGTAGTTTAATTCCCAATAAATCTCACTTAAAAGACCCTCTAGATGGCAGGGGGTGGCAGTATTTTTTATTTTCTCATTTCTGGAAGCTTCTACATATTGTATAAGTTATATAGCTTTGAAAAAGATGAAACTCATAAAATATGGTTATGAAATAATTGAGAATTCCAGGCCAGCCAAGGCTACACCTAATACCCTATCTCAAAACAAAAACAGAACAACAAAAAATTAAAAATAAAATGTGATAGAATTTCACTAGTCTAGAATCCAAACAAAGAAAACACATTGTGTTTGGTTGTGTTTTATCAAGTGCAGCATGTTTTGGAATATACGTGTGTGTGTGTGTGTGTGTGTGTGTGTGTGTGTGCAGCATATTTCTGTCTTATTGATTTTTAAAAATGTGAACTTATCTTCTAGTGGTTTTAAGTTTTAAATTTTATTTAATTGTAACTAGCACATATTATTTATACAGTTAGCATGATTCACTGTGATATTTCCATATATACACATATCATGAGTTGAAGTGTCTGTAGAGGGCTACTGAACTATAGTTACAACATCTTTTGAAAGCATTTTTAAAAACCATCCTGAGAGGTAACTCAGACACAGAAAGACAAACAAGCTATGTTCGTCTAATATCTACTCACTCATAAGTGGATATTAGACATAAAGCAAAGGATAAGCAGCCTTTAGGCCACAACCCCAGAGAAGACAGGAAATAAGGAGACCACTAAGAGAGAGATACATGGATCTCACAAGGATCCACCTGCCTCTGCCTCCCAAATGCTGAGATTAAAGGCGTGCGCTGCTACCACCTGATTGCTTCTTTTATTACATATGTAATTTATTTATTTTTATTTTATGTGCATTGTGGTTTTGCAAATATGTATGTGAGATCTTGGAGTTACAGACAGATGTAAACTGAAAATTGAACTCAGGTCCTCTGGAAGGGCAGTTTAACCACTAAGCCAACTCTCCAGTCCCACAAGAGTCTCTTTTCTATATTCTGGTTTCATTTATACCCAGAAAAGTGACGTAACAATCATATGGTTATTCTATTCTTCGTTTTATCCAGAAACATCTGTATTATTTCCCAGAGTGGCTAGCTTACATTTCACCAACAGTGTCTAAAGGTCCATTTTCTCCACACCATTGCTAGCATTTGTATTATTTTTTTCTATCTTAAATACTACTATTTTAACTGAATTGGTAACTCATTTGTTTTGACTTATACTTGCCTAATGACTTATGATATTGAACATTCTTTTGCATATTTATTGAAATCTATCTGTTTCTTAGTGTCTATTCAGATCATGTGCCAATATTACTTCAGCTGGGTTACTTTTTGATTGGTAATATTACTCTGTTGATGTTGGTTTTTTCCCCTTTGCTGTGTGTGTAGAAGGCTTTTTCATTTGATGTAACCTTAATTGTCAATTTCTGCTTTTGTTTCCTGTGTTTTGGGAGTCCTATCCAAAAAACCATCGCCTGCACCAGTATCTTAAAATGATTCCTCTATACTTTAGCACTCAGAGATCTTACATTACGTTGTATGACTTGTTTTGAGGTTTTTAGGTAGGTTGATTGTTAAGGCTTTAGGCTTCAGTCGGCTACATGTGGGTATCCAGTATTCCCTGAAGCATTTGTTAGAGAGACTGCTTTTTCTTAAAAGGATATTTTTACACTTCTTTGAAAAAAGCTGTTGATTTATTTCTGAGCTTTCTATTCTGTTCCATTAGTCTCTGATGTCTGTTTTTATGGCAATAACATGTGTTTTTGGTTACTAAGGCAGTGTAGTATATCTTAAAAATCACTATTGTGTTGTCTATACTTTTGTTCTTTTTTGTTCGCGACTGGGCAGTTTAAGTTCTTTTGTGCATCTATGTGAATTTTATCACTATTTTTCCTAGTTCTATGAGTAATGTCACTGGTATTTTGGTAGGGATTTTATTGAATCAGCATATTATTTTTTTCAGCATATTATTTTGAGTAGTATAAATATCTTAACAATATTAATAATTCAAATCCATGAACATAGAGGGTCTTGCAATTTGTCTTATTGGTATTTTGCAATTCTCATGATGGAAGACTTCCACTTCTTTAAGTTTACTCCTAGTCTCCCTATCCAACATGGTTCCTTTTTGCAAATTCATTAATTGTCTATAAAAAAAAGCTACTAATTGGATTTCTGTATTCTGCTGCTTTACTGAATCATGCATCCAACAGTCACCTGGTATAGTCTTTAAATCTTTCTACACAGTTCAGTTCAAAGAGTCTTTTGATGTCGCTGTTAGGTTTTTCTATGTATAGAACCTGTGGTACTTTGAATAAGAATTGCCCCCATAGGCTCATATTTGAATGCTTAGTCACCAGGGAGTGAAACTCTTTGAAAGGATTAGAAGAATTAGGAGGTGTGGCCTTGTTGGAGGGAGTGGTCTTCTGGGATGAAGTGTGTCACTGGGGATGGGCTTTGAGGTTTCCAAAGTCCAAGCTAGGCTCAGTTTTTCCTGTCTGTAGATCAGGATGTAGCTTTCAGCTGCTTCTCCAACACCAATTCTGCAGTGCCTGCCACTATGCACCCTGCCATGATGATACACCAAGCCTCTGAACTGTAAGCAAGCCCCAATTAAATGTTCTCCTTCATAAGAATTGCTGTGGTCAAGATGTCTCTTCACAGCAATAGAACAGACTAAGATAGAATCATATCATTAGTATATAGGAATAACTTCACCTTCTGATTTGTCTTTCAGTTCTTCTTGTCTAATTGTACTGGCTAAAATTTCTAGTAATCTTTTGTATAAGTGCAATAAAACAGACATCTTTGTCTTGTTTCTGATCTTAAAGGAAGCACTTTCAGTTTTTCTACATTGTGCTGGCTATTTTTGCCAGCCTGACACAAACCTAGATATACCTAGGAAGAAAAAATCTGCGTTGAGGAACTGTTCTATCTGACAGTCTTATGGGCATGTCTGTAGGGGCATTTTCTTGAATGATGATTGATATGGGACCCAGGAGTAGATGCTACCCATGGGCAGATGGCCCTGGGTTGTATAAAAAAAAAAAAAAGCTGAATTAGTAGAGGTGGCTCAGCACTTAAAGGTACTTGCTGCTTTTTCAGAGGTCCTGGGTTCAGGTCCTAGCACCTCTCTGATGGCTCACAATCATCTGTAACTCCAGATGATTCTAGGGGATTCAATGTTTTCTTTTAGCCTGTGGACACTGCACACACATGATACACTTAACATTCACGCAGGGAAAGCACCCATACACAAAAAGTAGGAATAAATTAATCTTAAAAAGGGGGAAAGGCTGAGTAAGTCATTGAAGCAAACCAGTAAGCAGTGCGTCTCTGTGCTTTCTGCTTCAAGTTCTCACCTTGGATTCCCTCAATGGTAAACTACAACTTGAAAGCCAAATAAACCCCTTTCTCCTCCAAGGTACTTTTGGTAAGCGTTTTATTGAAGCAACAGAGAAGCAGACTAGAACTAAAGTTGGTACAGGGAGTAAGACATTGCTATGAGACCTGACCATGTTTTCGGGAGAATTGTGGTTGGTTTTAGAGCTTTGGGCTAGAAAAGTCATTAAATACTCAGAGCTTAACAAGCTGTTGATGTGAAAGCTCAGAAGAATGCTGACAGAAATGTAGATAGTGAAGGCCTAGCTTAAAATTTTCAGAGCAAAGTTTGAGATATATTTTGTGATATATTTGAATTAAGAATGTGTGGTTTCTGGTCAGCTGGGGCTGAAGAATCAGATGTGATTAGCAGGAAAGCAGAGCAACTGAGGTAAACCCTTTACTGGGACGATTGATGGTACAAACAGTTAGCTGAGACTGAAGGGTCAGCTGTGATCGGTAAGAGACCAACATCACTGAGAAGTCTTCTTCAGGATTAGCACATGGAAGCTGTGATCCAGAGTCACAGGCTCAGGTAGCACCTCGAACTGACAGCTGAACTTGTTAACGTTAGCAGTCTCCCACATTACTGGTTTTTGGTGGCATGAAAGTTCTAGGACTGAAACGTGGAAATCATTGAGGCTTGGCATTATGAAAGTCCAGAAGGGACCAATGGTGAAGGTGCAGCCTTATTAAATTGGAGATGCCAGGACTGTGGGATGGTCACCAAGTACAGTACCAAAGCAGTGTATGTCTCAGATGGCAAGCACTAAGATTTTGTGGGGTTGTGTGTGTGTGTGTTGAAAGCCTTCAGGGGCCACATAAATATCCAGTAGCAGTATCTGCCATTATTTGCACTGAGAATAATGCACTTTACTCTACTGTAAAGTGGAGACTCTTCCTTGCTAGGCTGTGGAACTGAAGAAAAGGTGATTTTGCTTTTCTTGCTATGCTGCAACTAGCCTGTTCTCTATATTTCTACAAAGGTTCTGGTTTTGGGGTGGAAGTTTGCAACAGGGTTTCTCCATGTAACAGCTCTGGCTGACCTGGAACTTGCTTTGTAGACCAGGCTGGTTTTGAATTCACAAAGCTTCACCTGCCTCTGCCTCCAGAGTGCCGGGATTAAAGGTGTGCACCACTATGTCTGGCTAAAGCTTCTGGGTTGTTTTTTGTTTGTTTGTTTGTTTTTTCTACTAAATTCCAGCCTTCTTCCATGGGCACTAACCTCTCGGCCATCTCTACCTCTTGGTGTTGGTGTGGTGGAGCAAGTAAGAGCCCTAATCAGTTATTTTGCCCTCCAAAATGATTTTAAATGCCACCTTATTTTGATTCAAATCTAATGCTCCTTATCCTAAGGTTAAAGGTGTAATTCAGTGGTAGGACGCTTGCCTAGCTTATGCAAGGCCTGACTGATGTTCAAGTCCTAGTACTGCAAGACAACAAATCTAATGTCCTTATAACACACGAAAAATAATCATATCCTTTCCACATAAATCTCTAATATCCTTAACACTGGAAATATTTCTTTAGAAGAAGAAATTTCTCATGCTTAGCATCCCAAACAAGTAGCACAGTATCTGATACTGGAGATTCCTGATAAATATTTCATAGCTAGACCAACATATGAACTAACAAATGAACAAAGAAAATCTAAGTTGTTCAGCTCAGTCAGTGGATAGCTGTGAACAACTCAGTGAGTACATGCAGGATTGCATTTGCTAAAGTGACACTAAAAGGCAGGAGCACAGATGAGATATGTCAAATATAAGAAAACAGATGCTCTTTGGAGGAAGGAATGTCCATGTGGTCCAGAGCCATACAGAAAAGGAAAGGCCCATGTTTAAAGCATATGAGTTGAAGGACAAGTTCTGTCCCTCTGCTACTTACAGGAAAAGGTCTGATCAAAACAAACGTCATACAGTTCTTTTCCAACTATTTGTGTACTAGTGGGTGGCAAACAGGCCTCACTGCCTTACCTATCTTCATTCACACGCATGCACACTTCCCAAACTAGCCTCAAACTTGCTATGTAGCTAAAGATGACCTAGAACTTCTGACTCTTCTGTTCCTACCTATTGAACACCCTCCCTCTCAGCTCTCCAATGATAGGGATTGTAGAGCTATCACACCAACAGGCCCAAGTAGTATGAGTCAGTAGCAAACTAAAGAAAAGAGAATGATGATAGTCATTCCGTATGCTCAACTACACAGAACCATAAGTGTCTACTTTTGGACAGACAAGGAACCTGCTATCTTATTTACTGAGACAAAATGGTAGAGAAGAGCTTTATTCTTCAAACTGTATCATAATATTTTTTCCTTTTTTTCTTTAAGTGTAAGAGATCAAACCCACGGTCTCACTCATGCTAGATAACTGATGTACTAACACTGAGCTGCAGACTCAGTGCCCAATTTTCCTAATCTTAAATCTTTACAGCACTGTTCAGTTACTTAGTAAAAAATAATGGACTTAGCACACCTGTGGCACACATACATTCACACAGGCAAAACATTCATACACATGAAATCTTTTAAAAATGGACTTAGATAACTTCTCTTCTTTTTCTTTTAAGATAAGCAAACAGCATTTATCTCTTCACATGCACTAAACACACTTACCTCCACAAGCTGTGACTTGTCATAATCCTTACGATGGCGGTAGATGCACTGACTAAGAAGGGAATACAATCTCTCGAGTTGATCAACTGTCAAGTTGTTGCTTTTATCTACCAACAAATCAAGCAGTTTCTGGAAGGGGTACATGTGAGAGAAACCCAAAGAAAGAAGATAAGATGTAGTAGACATCATCAGTTAAACTGAAACCATTATAGTCAAATGCCTAGACAAAATAACACCTATGGTTTGAAGATTCTAGGCTTTAGCTTACTAACTTCAAACCCTCAAAATATACTTAACTCTCAGTTAGGAGAAGTCCTGGGACACTTATCGCTAGGTTAAAGTAAGAATTACCAAAACTAGTCTTATTACTGCTTTACAAATATCCAGTATTAGTCCAGTCATTGAAAGCAAACGGTGAAGAGCTAAGCATACCTTCAGTCTCTCGTGATCAACTATCAGAGGTGGCACAGGCTCAGATGGCTCTTCTGGAACCAGTTCCAGGCCTGTTGTTTTTGCCTGCTCTAAAATTAATTTACGATATTTCTTTATTTTAGAAGCACCTACAATTGAGAAGAGAAAAAAATGTACTATAGTCAATAAAATTAAGAGAAAATCATTATTAAGCAAATATAAATTCTTTTGCCCATGACATATTTTTTAAAGAACAATATATTTTTTAAAAAATGATCATGTTTATTTTGGGGTGCTTTCCTATTTTGTTGTTTATTGGTTTTTTGAGACAGGGTTTCTCTAGCTTTGGAGCCTGTCGTGGAACTAGCTCTTGTAGACCAGGCTGGCCTCAAATTCACAGAGATCTGCCTGCCTCTGCCTCCCAGTGTTGAGATTAAAGGTGTCACCACCACCGCCCGCCTTTTTAAATAAGAATAAATAATCCAAATGAAAGAGAACTGAACCATAACTATGAAAGCAAAGTTATAACTTTGGAATATCATGTGATACACATATCTATGAAAAAGAAACCCTGTCTTGAAAATCAAAATAAAAGAAAGAAAGAAAGAAAGAAAGAAAGAAAGAAAGAAAGAAAGGAAGAAAGAAAGGAAGAAAGAAAGAAAGAAAGAAAGAGAAACAGAAAAACTACCTTGGTTCTAAGCTCTTGCTTATAAATGATAAGACGATGGCTCAGTCAGTAAAATATTTGCTTTGTAAGCACGAAGTCCTCATTTTGGAATCCCAGCACTTCAACTACAAAGAAGGTTATGGCTACATGTGCTGTACAGCAGTGCTCTGAAAGATGGGTTTAGGATCAATGAGATTCGCTGGCTGTGAGTTCACCTCTAGAATCAGTGAGAGACCCCATCTTTAAAAAATAAGGAAGAGAGAGCAGGGTGTCTGATGTCTTCCTCTGACCTCTGAGCATACACATGGGTGTAAGTAACTACATAAACACCCCTAAACACACACCCTACAAGGACTCACTCCATCACATCTTGCAGTAAAGAATAATGGTGAGAAAAGACGAACTAGATAATCTTTACTTCCCTTTTTACTTTGTCTAAAACAGATGGTAATCATGAGAAGGTAGGGCTTGCAGAGTGCTCTTATTTTCCAAGAGCAATTTGAGTCAACAGTGAGTTCTACATCCTTTCTCTACTGCCACACAAATCAACGCAACTTGGTTGGATCTGGGATACTCAGTCTAATTACACTGTAATACGTTTTAGTAATCAGGAGAAGCAGCTAGTTAGTTATTGTTAATCCCAGCAACAATACCATTGTTTGATTTACAAAAGTTTGATTTACAAAACTAAAAACCAGGCATGAGGGAATTAGATCAAAATTCCTTGATTAAATGAATTAAGAACGGCTTAATCTCAGTTTATGCACTTTTCTAATCTCTGTCTGCCTCACCCATTCTCACAATTCTTCCATTGGAATTCCGTCTTCTTTGCACCTGTGAATTGATCTGGCTTTCACTTACAAAACTTTTGAGATAAGAGTAACATAACCAGGCTGGATGGTGGTGGCACACGACTTTAATCCCAGTACTTGGGAGGCAGAGGACCTCTGAATTTGAGATGAACCTGGTCTACAGAACAAGTTCCAGAGCAGTCAGAAAAACCCTGTCTCAAAGAAGAAGAAAAAAGAGTGACAATCAGACAGGTGGAAGAGTAAAAGGCCAAGACAGCACTCATTCTGGACCATGAAACCTCTGGAACCTTCTGATGTGGGAGTGATTTCTTATTAATAAAGAAACTGCCTAGGCCCCTTGATAGGCCCACCCTTAGGTGGGTGGAGAAAACAGAAGAGAATTCTGGGAGAAAGAAGCTTAGTGAGAGAGTCGCCATGATGCTCTCACTCCAGACAGACGCAGGTTAAGATCCTCCCTGGTAAGCCAGCTCGTGGGCTACACAGAATATTAGAAATGGATTAGAACAATATGTAAGAGATAGCCAATAAGAAGCTGGAACCAGCCGGGCCAGGCAGTGTTTGAAAGAATACAGTTTCCATGTAATTATTTCGGGCATAAGCTAGCCATGCGGGCGGCCGGGTGCCGGGAACGCAGCCCCGCCGCTCATATTTCAACATCTGGAACCTTCAGCAAAACTGGGTATGTTCACAGTTATTTATGGAATGGGATGAAAAATGTGAGTGATCATTCCGTTCTGAGAATATTAGCCAATTATTGCTACTAGAAATCAAACAAATATTCAACAAATTTACTCTGACATTTAAACCTTTTAAAACTTTAGCTCTACCTTCTTTATCCAGTTCTGTATCTTTAACCTCCACATCAGGACCAGGCTCGATCTTCTCATTACTGCTACATCCCAGTACTTCTAGTTTCTCAGGATCGTCTCCAGGATCTTCATTCAAAGTTTCTGGTTTGTCTTTTGGCTGTTCCTCTGAAGGAATCTTCTGTTCAGAACTAGATTTTTCTCCACCGGCAGAGAGAGGAACTATTTCAGTTTTACCATTCTGACATGCTAGAACGGGAATTCCTTCAAAACTGTCAGTGGAGGCTTCACCATTCAGACAGCTGCCTTTAAGAAAGGGCTCTTTTTTAGAGGTCTGCTCAGGATTGAGAGTACTGCTGCTGTGGACAAGTAGAGATTCATTTGAACTTTCCTCTTCAGTCGATGCAAAGTTCTCTTTTGTGCCTGCTTCATTGTTCAGCCTCTGACCCTGGTCCATATCCATGATGTCACATGAAGATTCATCATTGGTCATAGATAAGTCTCCAGTCTCTTCTCCATTTTCCTCATGGCAGTCAGTGCTTACCTCAAACTCTCCATTCTCCAGCAACTTCCGGTCCTCGGTATGGTCATAGTCTGCAAACTTGGTGTCCTCCTCATCTTTCTTTAAATTATTGACTTTCCTTTTCTTAATAATTCCTTTACCCCACTGTGATCGCCGCCTTGATTTTCTCCGAACCCGGACTGTTTGATAAGAAAGGGAGAAAGAACATGTATAACTTCAGGGTGCAATGTCAGTTTTACATTTTCTTTATAGAGAGCCCAAAGAAAGTAAACCCATTCTGGCCAAAATATAAACAAAACCCCTGGCTCTTGTTATCTATACAGATTAATTCTTACAACCTCTAGGTAAAATTGATATGAAGTTAAAGATGAACTCAGACAAATGCAAACTTTTAAAACTTCACCATGTGAGTTTGCTTGGCATTAGCCTCTTCTACTACTACAGATTCTACTTTATAGCCAATTCTAACTTTCAACACTCAAGGACTAACCTAGAAAGCATACATTTAGGGAATTATCATATTACCAAGCAGCCCAGAAAGTTTGAGAGAGCCTTGGATTTCTACCAGGAAGGTCGGTGTACTGCAAGCAAATCATGCAAAGATAACAGCACCTCAGCTATGGAGAAGAAAAAACACCACCAACAACAGAAACCCTTTAATCCAATGCTATAGGACCCAATAGTGACAGCTATCCCTCAAATAAACACCTATTGCCTCTCCTTTTAGGAAAAGGCATTACCTGTAGGATGAATGATCATGAAGAGAAGCACTACAATAGGTTATGTAAACAATTTGGTTAGCAAACTGTTAACTGCCTCTAATACAAATGGTTTACCCAATAGCATCAACTTATTACAAACGTATCTCCAAATATGTAGAATAATCAAGCCTTTTTGCTATTAAGGCAACGATATCAAGAAGATATTGAAAATATCCATTTGGTCAATAATCTGAAAAAAGGAGACCTAGAAAAGCTGTATACTCTTAGGTGAAAATGCATCATGAGCTCTTTGAGTAGATAGCTGGGCTTCCAGGTGATTAGTTGGAGCCAAGAGAACACATGCCTTTCTTTGGGATCTAGTATCACTACTTCTAATAGCAGGATTTTAGAAAAGTAAGGAAACTAATCAGATAAAACTTTCAGCATGGGAGGAAGCATCTTCACAGTAAGGACCATGTGGGAGGTGTATGAGTGTATGTGGAGAGCATTCTTATCCTACCACTTCCCTTATTTACTTAGGGTGCTCTATTGAAACACCCATTTAGGAACACAACTTTTAAAGTCAATTTTTATTGAGACTGTTCCAAAAGCCAAGACCTTAGAAAAGCAACTGTTCCTTTGGGACATTTCAAGTTAAGATTTCTGTTAACCCGAGACAAACAAATGGTGTGTCACATGTGCCATCTGCTGGTAAGAGAAAACAAAACCCCACTAGAGATTTTAAAAGTACTTTCATTTTCTTCTCCCTTTCTATGGCTTCTGGAAATCAAATTCCGGTATCAGGCTTACCATGAAAGCACCTTTGTCTGCTAAGCCATCTTGCCTGCCACAGTCTAAAATTTCTTAAAGTGAATTTTCAATATATTCTCATTAATAGACATTAGTATCAATGCAGAAACTATAAAAGATTTTAAAGTTTAAATGAGAGTACAACGTTACACAATGGGACACAATCCAAGCTACAACTAGACCAAATAGCTTCAGAGCAACTAAATACAACCAAATAGCTTCAGAGCAACCAAATAGTTTCAGAGCAACTAAATACATCATTAAATCCCTTTTCAAACTTGTTCCATATGAAGATTTTAATAAAAATATTATATTGTTTAAAAGTGGGTATGAGCCGGGCAGTGGTGGCACACACCTTTAATTCCAGCACTAGGAAGGCAGAGGCAGGTGGATCACTGTGAGTTTGAGGCCAGTCTGGTTTACAGAGTGAGTTCCAGGACAGGCTCCAAAGCTACAAAGAAATCCTGTCTCGAAAAATAAAAGAAAGGGAGGAAGGGGAGACGGAGGGAGGGAGGGAGAGAGGGAAAGAGGGAGGGAGGGAGGGAGGGAGGGAGGGCGAATAAAAGTGGGTCTGATTTATTCCTTCAAATTAATTATCATTTGGTATAAAGAGCATAGCATGGACAGCTTTGCTGACATGGCAATAATATCATCATATTAAAGCCAGAAGAACAGTTCATATCTTTCAAAGCAGGCTATCTTTAATGATACATGAAGACTACATCAGGAAGATTTTGGGTTTATAAACATTTGCCTTTCAGAAATACAATAGATCATTAACAGTAAGCTTTTATGAAGATCTAGGAACTAAATTCTCTTTTAAAATATATCACAGAAAGCTAAGTCAAATTAGGCTACTCAGATTTCTTAAATTCAGCATAAAATCGTCTCTTTAGTGAACCAAACTTGCTACTGCCAAACCAACCATTTCCACATGATCCTTGTACTTCTAACTACAAAGAGAACATCCTGCATATCATGCAAGGAGTGGGAAATAAGGACTAGGCGGACAAAAGATTCTGTGGCCTCCACAATTCTATCCAAAATCCAGTGTTTAACACTAAAAATGTTTCAAGTGTTTTAGTCATCCGGGGGAGGGGGGAAGTATAGAAAGCAGCAAATAAAGTAAAAAAAAAAAAAACAAAAAACAAAAAACAGAATCTCACTCTTAATCTTACTTTACAAGCTCTTCTCTGGGAAGACAGGATTAAAGAGCTATGGACAAAGGGCACTGTTGTCTTGTGGGCCCATCCTACCAAGTCTCACTTATTGCCACCATTGGCTAACATGCTCACAAATACTCACATGCACACTTATTTGCAGAGTTGTGCCAGGCATCCATTGGGCTTCTTTGTTTGTGCCGAAATGCCTCTTCCAATCTAGTCTCTGTCTTACGGGCACCAGTGCCATGAGGAGTTATTTGCTCTGCTGGTACTGAAAAGCCTGCAAGCCGCAGATAAGCAATACCTATTTAAATGTCCCAGCTGCATAGATCAACAAAGTTTTTTTAAAAAAATTTGAAATATAAAACTGAGTTTAAAAGTCATTTATTATACCTAGACAGTTTGTAATTCTGCTTAAATTGGGGTCTTTTGTTTTAAGATGGGAAAGTAACTTGATATTAAAATCATAAAAATAAAAATACTTAGCAGGCCATGGTACCTAATGCCCATAGGAGCCCAATTTTCACTCACTTTAATTACAAAAGAGATACATTTCACAAATTGACTGTGGGATAATAAGACTATACATATTGTCTAAAAACCATGGTCTCTGCTATCTTAGAATGTACAGTAAGTGTACCGGGTCACTAAAGTATATTCCCATACACAGTTTCAACCTAGCTTGCTGCCTGTCACACCACAATGCACTAAGCCTCACCTGCTGGCACCATCTCCCGAAGAGTAACCATTCCATCTCAATTTCCCCATGTGACCATAAGTGCTAGTGCTTCTCCCAGCTCTCTCAATAACCTAGCTTTTTATTGTAATATACAAGAATTATCCTTTATGTGTATAGTTCTTAAAAGATGTTATATAATAATTATCACATCTCTTTAGTCCAAAGATCTCTAGCCTATAAGTCATATTTCTATTTGTCTACATCATATCTCTAATCAAGTATCATAAACATAGGCCAAATTAAGGATAACTGGTTCATCTTTAGACATACATACATACAAATACAGTTTACCTTATATATTGACTGTTTTGACTAGCAAAATTGGTTCTACTCATTTATTCAACTAGAAATATTCTTTCCCTTTAATGCCTCTTCTAGGCTAGGGATGTAGCTCAGGTTGACAGAGTGTTTGCCTAGTATGTACCAAGTTCTGGTTTTGATACCCAGCACTGTACGAACTGGGTGTGACAGCACAGGTCTGTATCTCAGTTTTTAAGAGGTAGAGAGAGAAAAATACATAGTGAATTTGAGGGCAGCCTGAGTTTAATGAGAACAATTCTCAGAAAGAACGGAAGGAAGGCAGGCAGGCAGGCAGGCGGGCAGGCAGGCAGGCAGGCGGGCAGGCAGGCGGGCAGGCCAATCACACGAAGTGTTCTCTACACATTCATATGCCAATCTTAGTTAGCTCCATGCTTCATTCATTAAAATGCAAATTGCTATACCGTCTTTCCCCCCTAGCTGTCTTACTGAGATACTGTTTATATAACATAAAACCACCCATTTTAAGCATAAAATTGCTTTTAGCAAAGTACATTTTTGTAGTCACTCATAGAAACCTAATTTGAGATACCTGTCCCAGGCAGCTACTATTGCATGGTTTTCAACATACTTGCCATTTTACATGAAACAACCACATTCAATAGATGGTCTTTCATTACTGCCTTATTTCAGCAGTGCTGTTTGTGAAGTCCAGTGTCATTTTATATTAATACTTCACTGAGTTATATAGACTATGGATAAACTATGCCTTGCTACTCACTAACCAGGTGATGGACATTTGTCTCTTTCCAGTTTTTATTTATTATGAATAACACTCACTCCTATGAACATTCATGTACATGTTCCATGTGGTACATGTTCCATGTGGTCACATATTCATTTCTCTTAGATAGACTCCAAGGAAGAGAACTGCATAATGCAGCAAATTTATGTTTGCCTCTGTGGAAACTGAAACGTAGTTTTCCAAACTGACTCTCACAACTTTTAACTCAATCTTTCATTTTTCTAAAACACCGAGAACATGTTATTTCTTGCTGTTAAAATGATCTAACCAATCCCATAAGCTTAAAATCAATGGGTTCTTCTACACTGGCATTTCTCTCCCTCCTACTAAAATTCCTCTAGGACACGGCTGTATACCCAATAAAAGTCATATGCTCATTTTGTGTCTCTAATTAAAAAATGACACATAAGTGTTAACACACTGGGGAAGTATTTATAAAAGGTTTAAGTACTGGTATTAAATGTGAAATGATGAAAACTAAGATCTCTTCAGCTACAAGTACAGATAGATACAACATAAATCATTTAAGAAATTTCACTAAGAAATACTTTTCTTTAACATGCACAATGCACTCCAACTTTCAAAGGTGAAGTTTTGAAATATCCTTGAGAATTTACATGACCCATATTAGTATCAGAAATTCCTAAATACAAGGTTAATATTGGAGACAAAAAAATACATTTTGCTGTCCTGTGTATCACAGAAAGATGAACAAAATGAGCAGAGAATGCTTCAGTAGCAAATCTATTTTTCTGACTTACCTCTTTTTATTCTTGCTTCCTTAATTTCTTCACAGAGTTTATTAAATTCTGGGTCCAGTTCAGCTGCGATGATGGCATGTGCAGTGTCCTTCAGGGTACAAGCTCTGTGCCTAATAATTTTGTCTGTTAAAAAAAAGCATAAGTTTATTTTAGATACAAATGGAATAAAATTAATGCAGGATTCCTTCAAAGTAAAATATATAAACATTTAAATTATAAAAACATTTTAGGTAAGAAAAGATTCAAAAGGTGGGTAGAATATAAGCTAGTCTATCAATAGCTTGGAAAATTGGACCTTAAGACCTCAAAATATTAACTCTAATAAATCATTACCTCAAAATATGGTTTTATTTTTAATTTATAAAAATAAAACATGATTTTCAATATAATTTTCTAAGAATTAGAGATATGCTATACGTCCCAGGAACTCATAGGACCAAGCATACCGCTCAGTGGATACCTTAGCTGTGCAAGCTCTGCAACCTGACTTCTATCCCTGGAACCCATGTAAAGGTAGAAGAGAATGAACTCTACAAAGCGCTCCTCTGATGCCCTCACTCTCAGATGGTGTGTACACCCATACACATACAAATAAACAAAACTAAAAGATCATGTTTTTAAAACCAGAGTAGCTAGTCAAAACTGTGCTAAAGAACACAAAATATTCTGAGTAAGGGAGATCTCTCTTAAACTGTGACAAAACCATATAAGTACAGAAAAACTACCTAATTAAGGCATGCAAGATAGTATGTAAATAGCAGCCAGATGTGACATTATACACTTATAACCTAGCACTTGGATCACCAATTTCAAGCAGCCCTAGCTACTGCACATAATCTTGTCAGAGAAACCCAGCAGTACACAAAGCCCAACTCACAACATCAGTGAGCAGAAACAGGGAGAAGAACTTGGGGTTCTAGGTACCACAGCTAAAGTGATACTATAAAACAGTGTCTCCCTCACAGGTTATAGGAAAGACTGGATCGTGAACAATGTACTATCAGTGGTGCCCTCTGGAGTTACGGTACTCCAGATGTGAAAAGGTGGATAATTGCAAGATAACTTAAAACAGTTTGCTCCTGGAACAGTAGTGCGCACCTCTGAGGGGAAAGCAGAAGGATCCATTCTAGGTCATTTTCTGTTATGCAACAAGTTCTAGTTCAGTGTAGGCAACATGAGACCATATTTCAAAACAAAAATTAAACAAACAAAAACAAAGAATCCAAAATTTAAAAAAATTACTTCTCTCTCTGTAGTAAAGGAATAAAAATATAAAAGCTCTTTTATTTATAACACTATATTATAGCTTATTGTGGAAATCTCATAAAAACAAACGTGCAACCACTGGTATATTTCTTTCTGAGAAACGTTCTCTAAATTCAACACTGTCCACAATAGTAGAAAAACTGAAGTGACAACTACACAGAAGTATCATCCCCCCCCAAAAAAATCAATCAGACATGTTTCCAACAAAATTACAATTTTCAGACTACATAGGAAAGTAGCATTAAATAGTCTCTCAGCTAGAGAGAGAAAGAATGCTTGCTGCTCCTATTCCAGAGGACCAGAGTTCAGTTCCTAGTACCATTTCAGGCAGCTCACAACCACCTGTAACTCTAGCTACAGAGAGTCTGATACCCTCTTCTGGCCTCTGCAGACATACACACATACATGCACATACCCACATAGATATATACATACACATAAATTGTTTTAATCTTTAAATTTACCTCATACATAAAAAGCCTTCTCTCTCAAAAGAGAAAACAAATAACAACAAAAATACAAGACACTAATTTGACTGATGGCTATGAAGAAAGTCAGTGGGCTTGGCAAATTTCACCTGAGTTCTGAGGAGTCTCTTAAGGAAGAGGCACTTGGGCAGATATGTGAACAAGCTTTGGAGCCGCAGACAGAGGAGTCCATACTGCAGGTACAGACTGTGTCACGTTCAAGAGCTAGGAGAGTTCATGAAACTAAAATGTTCCTGATGAAGAGAACTCAATAGCCAAGACTAGAACAAGTGCCAGGTCTTCTCCAAAGAGTTCAGAACTTATCCTACAAGCAATCAAAGGTCACTGAAAAGCCATGAACAGGAAGCAATAGGATGCAAACTCACTCTGGCTGTTATAAGGAGACTGGACTGAGAGGGATTAGGGTACAATCCAGAAGCATAACCACAAAGTTCTTTCTGGAAGTGAGAGAGACCACAACTTGAACTGGGGTGGTTGTGATGATGAGAGAGAGAGAAAGATTACAGATCTGAAATGGGATCTCAACTACAGAAAAGGGTGATAAAAACAGAAGAGAGGGTTTGATAACTATCAAACATAATTCTCTAGCTTTTTGCATCCAAAAGGGGAAAGGGAGAGGGAGAAGCACATTTATAAAGACACATACACACACACACACACACACAAAAAAACATGGAATATATAGAGGAAGGAAGACAGGAAAAGTTAGAGATTACCTTTAATGAATTTAGCTTTAGGCATTTTGGTTTTAAGATGCTTTAAAAAAAATCCCAATGGAGATATATAAGCACATTGGGGTGTTTACTGTCTACTAAATTCTGAGGTATGATTTAATGTTTTGGATATAGGTTTAAGCTCTTACGTTTCAGTATATGATCCATTGAGTCAACTTTTTTTTTTTTTTCCAGAGTTTAGATGTTTTTATTCACTGACTGGAAGAGGTTCTCAAGAACATCAAGGTGACCAAGACTGATATACTAGCACCTGGACCAAGCTCATCATGGAGCACTCAGTGTTCACCATCACTGGGCAGGGGGTTTGGGAAATTTTGATTACATAACTGATACCTAATTATTCCATCACTATTTGTTGTTGAAAAGATATTTAGGTCAAGAATTTTCTCAGCCATTTATGCTTTTCAATGCATATATCATATATCTTTTGTCAGATTTCCTCCTATTATAAGTTTTTGATGCTATTGTAACTAGTACTTATTTCTTTTAGATTTATTTATTCTATCTGATGTGTATGAGTGTTTTGCCTGCATGTATGTTTGTGTAAATATTGGTGTCTGGTGCCAAAGAAGATCAGAAAAGGACATAAAAGAAGGAGTAGGTATGATTAAGATGCATGTCTGAAATTTTCAAAGAATTAAAAATAGTCTAAAAATAAATAAATAAAAATAATGAAATTCTAGACAGTTAGGGTTGTGCCATTACAACATGTGCATGTTACAGGGTAAACTGCATCCCCTCAAAATATTTATGTCAAACTCTGAGCCCCTACTTCAGAATGTGACTGTTATTTGGAAATAAGCCATTGTTAAGAGGCAATTAAGATTAAAAAGGAGGGTAGGCTCTAACCCACAGTGCTTGATGCCCTTTTAAGGGAGATCTGAACACTCCAAGAAAAGTACACTCAGTGGAGAAAAGGCGACAGGGAGAGGCCATTAAGTAAACCAAGAAGAGCGGTTGGTCTTGAGAGAAATCAAAGTTGTTGACTCAATTTGAACTAATTCACCTCTCACACTGAGAAAAAACTGCTTAGACCTCCTGGTGTGTCATATTTTGTAGTTGGTTCTAATGGATAAGTACAAAGGCATACAGACCAGTATCTGCTGTACAGGAGTCATATTATTGATCTATCATAATACTGATACAGGTTACATAATCTGTTACTCACGGAGTAACAGCATCACAGACATTCTTATATACCAAGTATCCTGCAAAGTAATTATGGCATGGTCATAAGCACTAACAGAAATATAAGTGAGTTTGGTTAAGTTTGAAATTTATGAGGTACAACTATGACAAAGTTGGAGATGTACTGGGTAGATTACAGGTGGCTCCAAAATATGAGTGCCTCTCAGAACTCTGATCCCAGGCAATTGATACAAAATGTTAGGATTCTGTGAAGACTATAAGATTAAGGATGAATGTCAGCAAAATTGGTCAAATGATGATAGGTCTAAGAATTGTCCTAGAGGTAAGGTAAGACCAACAATGCAGAATGGTCAAACTTCATTCATCATGCCCTATCCCTAGGACAACAATTAGAGTCAAATGTCTGACCCTGATCACATTTAGAAGCTACAAGTTAAATTCCTTATCGCTTCACATTTAATTTCTATCCATTTCATCTTGTGTGAGATAATCTGGTAAACATGTAGCAATATTTAACTTCCAAAGACTTTTATCTTCTCTATATAAGTAGTTCCCTCATACCCCCAAGTGGTCATGTGTTCTGCCAAGGAGAACAATGTAAACATTTAAATACTCATGGGACCTTGTAAAATTAATTTAACATTCATGCAATTTCCACTTGCTACACAACAGATCCTGAGGTTTTACAAGTACATACATAACAAGGGGCTCTGCTGCTTAAAAAAAAAAAAAATGTTCCCTTGTTGACTAAAGATAAGAGGTAAGGTGTGAAGACAGCAAACATTCCTGAACTATGACCCTCTTTGTATCGACCTTTAAGGAACAGAGGAGGAAAGTCTTAAGTATAGCACATAAGCTCCACCTATGAAACAGAGCATGGCCTGTAGTAAACCATCACATTCTACAGTAAAAGGTAATGCTGCATCAGAAAGCATTGCTTCTTCCTTGAAACTAGATATTTATATCAACAGGATTATAATAAATTATCTAGGGGAAAATTAGATTTATTTCCTAAACTAGCTTTCTCTAACAAGCATTTACGTTCATTTTCATAGTCCCTAAATTTGTTTCCAAGTAAGTTTAAAGTGTGATTTGGGAACTGTAAAAAACACAAAGTGGGGGGGAGGTGGAGTCATCCTAGAGCATGTATGTACATACCTACTATGGAACCCCAAGCTTAAAACTACAATTTAAATACTAATGAGAATATAAAAATATAAATAACACCAGGCATTGGTGGCACACGCCTTTAATCCTAGCACTCGGGAAGCAGAGGCAGGGAAATCACTATGAGTTTGAGGCCAGTCCGGTCTACAGAGCGAGTTCCAGGACAGTCAGGGCTATGAAGAAAAACCCTGTCTTGAAACCCCCCACTGTCCCAAAAAGAATATAAATAACAAAAGCCAACCTTCAAGGAATATTTCCCAGCTAAAAGGATTTATGCTAGGGACTTGACATAATTAATTTGAACAATAGGAAAATGGCAACACCATAACATTCAACAAAATACACGTTCTTACAACAGCCCCAAATAACAAATTCTATTGTTATCCCTACTATAAAAATGGGAAAACTAAGATTTAGAAAACTTGATCACCATCAACTAGAGAACAGCAGCGCAGACAGAAGCACAGGTCTAAATATGGCGCTCACCTTCCCACCAGACTACACCACACCACACCACACCAGAAGCTGAGGTCACAAGGTCAAAGGCCCACACAGCCACTCCCATCTGATCCCATCTGACAAAGGAAGGTCATGAAATGAGCTTGAAAATCAGCCTGTTTCTCAACACCCATTCTGATGCGAGATGACATAACGCTAGAAGAAGAAACCCTCATGGACATAAAATTGCTGCACTAGTTAACAGTGGCCCTAACAAAATATGAAGAAATGCATACAACCTCATTATAATTTTTATTTGGGAGGTACTAAGGGATGAAATTCAAGGCCTCACACAATTTAGAAAAGTTCTCAATCACTGTGCTAGACCTCCAGCCCTTCCTTCCTTCCTTCCTTCCTTCCTTCCTTCCTTCCTTCCTTCCTTCCTTCCTTTCCTTCCTCCCTCTTTCTTTCTTTCTTTCTTTCTTTCTTTCTTTCTTTCTTTCTTTCTTTCTTTCTTTCTTTATATTTTGGGGTCTTATTAAGTTGCTGGAATTACAGATCTGTGCCAGCCATTTTATAAAAATATCTATTCATAGTTATGATAGAGGAGAAAAGAACTAAAAGACTTAGTATGTCCAGGAATAGGCCATTAGCTATATTATAATTTTTAACCTACTCATTAAGAAGAGTTTCAAAAATGTTAAAGGCATGAAAAATATATAAGAATTACATAATTTTATAGGAAAAAAAGATAAACAAAAATTGTTCAACATTCTTAGCCATCAGGAAAATGGGAATTAAAACTACACTGAGGTTTTTTTTTTCTCCCAACCCTCTCAGAATGTCTATAATGAACACACTACAATGTGGGTAAAGAGGAACCCTTATAAAATACTGGTGGAAATGTAAACCTGTGTAACCACATGAAATAAACTAAAAATAGAACTACCATATGATACAAGCATATCTATCCTCTCCTAGGCATATACCCAAAAGGACCTAAGTCAGAACACAGGAGGCTCTTGCATGACCATGCTTACTGCAGCACTGTTCATAGTAGCCAGGGCCTGGAGCCAGCCTAGATATTATCACATGGATGAAAAATGTGTAATTTACACACATGAAAAGGTGTTTCATCCATACACAAAGAAAAGTGAAATCAAGTCATTTGCAAGAAAATGAATGCAACTGGTAATCATGTTAAGTGAACTATGAGCAAGGCACAATGATCTACTAAAAATAATGCATATTATTTAAAAATGCAGGTAAAACACTATATAACAAAATTTTTTTAAAAACCCTATTATGTATACTAACAAAAAGTAACAATAATCATATTTTTGTTTTTTGTTTCTTAAGACAGGGTTTCTCTGTGCAGTTTTAGCGCCTGTTTTGGACTAGCTCTTGTAGACCAGGCTGGCTAATGTGTGTATATATTCTTCAGACTTAGACATTAAGTAACGAGACTGCAGATTACTGAACTTTCTTATTTTCATAGTTTTTCTAAGACATATATAATTTAAAAAAAAAAAAAAAGGTTCTGGAGAGATGACTCAAGGGTTAAAAGCACCAGCTGGTCTAGTAGAAAGATACAGGTTTGGTTCCCAGGACCCGACAGCTCACATCTACCTGTAAAGTGAGTTCCAGGGGCTCTGACTCCCTCTTCTGGCTCCTACTGGCACCGAGCATGCACACAGTACAATTTTCAGGCCAATGCTCATGCACATTAAATAAACCCACAAAACTATAACAAACAAATATCTTAAACATAAAAGTTAAGAACTAGTGCCCACCAAGCCTTACTATGTAAATATTTTATTCTGTTTCTGAACTTGAAATAGGATATTATCAATTACTATGGTCTAAATCCAGGTGAGAAGTAATGTCATGTAGAACGGAGAAATCCAGGTCATTCTGCTGCATGGCTTAAGTTGAGAACCACTGTTCCCAAATACAGGTATAGTATCTTTAAAGATCAGAAACCTACATAAATGCTTTTAAAAATAGTATTTTGTGTATCACTTAGTGAAGAAATAAAATCCTCAATGAGTGAGAAAAAGGAAAAAAGAAAACAGCTCCTGGTAGCTAAGAGTTATCCTAGCATAACCAGCTTAATCTTAGCATGCTCATGTTAAAAACAACACCACACAAAGCCACTGTATAACCATGATGGGCCAAATAAAAAGACAACTCTGTAATTATATCTAAGCACAGAACAAAACATAAACATTGTCCTAAGCACAAAAATGACCACACATAATTATATTCTCACTAAAACCAATGTCCTGCTTAGGGGTGTTAGCACTGCTTGATTCTTCTGATACACACACACACACACACACACACACTTAAAAATATTTGAGGTAGGGGAGACGTGACTACAGGCATGTGGAGTTCAGAGGACAAATTGCAGAAACAGATGCTCCCCTTCCACCATGTGGAAGGGTCCAAGGATCAAACTCAGGTCTCAAGCTTTACCTGATGAGCTATCTCAGGTAAACCCAGCTCACTTCCGAGGTTCTAAGAAAAAATATCTAATCACAAAATGGTCTTGCTACCTAGCAACATCCAATTCACTGCTAAGTTCCACTTCCTTACACTTTCCCTAAGATTATATACAGAATACCAAATCTTTTATGAGTCCCAAAGACATGCATTTTTGTTATAAGAATCATCCCTCTTTACAATAAATCCATCTTGTTTAATTATAGATATGTTCTTAGTGATTTTCCCTGGATGACAATGACAAGAGTTGGAACTACAGATATGTCCAACCCATGAGCTACATGATTTCCAGGATAGCTACAAATCCGACCTAACACATTTGATGATAGTATCATGTCACTATGTCAAAAGAATGGACACCTCTGGAAAGTATAGGATGGAATTAGGAGTAAAATAAAATTGTGTAAGAATACCTCCAATAAATATATAGAAAGGATAACTAACATTCTACAGGAAAATTCTGTTACACAGGGCTGGGAATGGTGACACACACCTCTAATCCCAGCATTCAGGAGACAAAGACAGGAGGATCTCTGTGAGTCTGAAACCAGCCTAGGTTACATTACTGAGCTCTAGGCAAGACAGAGCTATACAATAAGATTCTGTCTTTTTTTTTTTTAAGTTTGAAATATAAACTTACCCATTCCTGACTTCCCACAAATTAAAAATTTTCTATTTAGTGGCTCTACTGATGTTGGCAAAACAAACAAATTTTAAGTTCACTTGCCAACTTATTCCATCAATCTGAACAAAATTAGAATTCAGTATAAAAATTAAAAGGAAAATGAAAACTAAATCTTAGACAAAAACATAGTGCCTAGAACTGTAAAATTTCTGGCACAGTGTTTCCAGGTAGGTTATTACTTTCTCAAAGTTCCTGAATACATTCATTTATCAGTCTAAAATGGGCATACTTGAATGCCGAAACTGGCACCTTGCCCTAAGTGTCCTTACCTCCGGGGTCCTTGTCTGGATTGTATTCTAAAGCATTGCTACAGATGAGGTCAATATCTTGAAGGAAATCTTTAGCCGTTAGATAATTATGTTTATCAATTTTAGTTATTACTGTTGATAAATCCATTGGTTCTTTGATTACTTCAAGATAATCTGAAACCTAAAACAAATAGGATGCTTTAATGAAAATTACATCTGGCTTTTTATATGCTTTAGTTCACAAAAGCACAAATTAAAAACAGAATACTTTAAAACTTAAATCTAAGTAGCTAATTATATAAGAGTAAAGTTACAATGCTTTTTATGATACTAAAGTTACTATCTGACATACTTTCCATGAAAAGCTTCACGGTGCTCATCTTGAAATTTGAAACCAACAGTCAGTTTTTGGTTTTTAAATCTTTTGGGTTTATCTGAGAAGAGAATGTGTGGGTAAAGTACCCAATAAGCATCAGTGCTACCTCAAGAAATGGGGGGGAGGGGTATAGGAGAGATTTTTTTTTCATATTAATACAGAATTTCTGGTATACGTTTTAAATTTTTTTCAACAAAACTTTCTTTTTTAACTCTATAAGGTGAACCATTTCATGGGAAGTATTTTCTACTCCTTTGGAGTCATTACACACATTTTGTGTCAATTAAATAAGTATTTTTTTTTCTAACTTGAAAAGAGCTTGCTGGACTTGTCTCTACATATAAATGATTCTACAGTAAGACATTCAGTCAGGATTTATAAAGTAAGTTTTATGTTTTAATGTCACTTCACCAGTAGGGAAGGATTAGCAAGCTGTATTTATTGTTTTCTCAAGTGGAAACCTCAAGTAGTAAACTGTAATCTGAAAGCAGTTTGAGCAATGTCTAAAACTAGTACAGGACCAACTTCTGGGCAGCTTCTGCTGTCTGAAAGTGAGGGTTTGTTTTCATATAGCTTCCAATGACACTGATACCATGATTTCAAGTTTATACACAGACTCGTGCATACCCATGCATGCATGTAATTTGTGTATGTTTTTCAAATTTTAAGGCCATTCATAAGTTGTGTGACTGTCAGCTCTAAGTGGGATCTTATTGCAGGCAGGAATGGAACTATTAGTTGGACTCTAAGGTCCAGTCATTGTATAAAAGTGGAAACAAATATTTATAAAAGGAAAGGCATTTAGAGTTTATACTATTAAGAGTATGAAATTTTAACACATATTTAGTTTTAAATTCAGTATGTTTTTAATATTTTGCTTTCTTCAAATGACTTTAAATTTGATAGTATTAGCCACTTCTAATGCATTATTTGAGCATATACTTTTATGTCTTAAACGACTTAGGAATTATCTTGTTTTCCCTTTTCTATTCTTCCCCTGCTACTCCTGCTTCAGCTTTGAGAGCAAGACCAGAATGAACCTAAGACAGAAAAGAGGATCATAACATTAACTAAAATTATTACCTAAACCTTAGCATTTCTCTTCCTTTCTATTTCTTTACCATGACTTATAAAACATATTCTCTTAAAGCAGAGGAAGCAATCTGCCAAAAATTTTGTGATTAGGAAGAAAAAACTTTCTTGAGCAAGAAGAAAACTAGTTAATTTGAGCCTGAGAAGCAGGGCTGGGGGATAGCTTGGCTAGTGGAACAGTTGCCATGCATGCAAGACCCTGGGCTTAGTTCTTAAGACCATAAAAAGAAATCTTTAATGATTATTTCAGATGAAAATCCTATAAGTGGTTTGTTTTTTTTTTAAGCTAAAGGCATATATTACACATATCTTACATGTCCTGCTATTTCAGTGGGAAAAGGCGGGAAGATAGCTAAGACGGAAAAGATGAAAGACTGAGGCTTTCAAGCATGGTGATGCATGCCTATAATCCCTAAATGTGGGAGTTGGAGGACTGCAAGTTCAAAGTCATCTAGGTCTACATAATAAGACTCTGTCTCAAATTTAAAAAGTAAAAGACTGTAGACTTTAAATTTGAAAAACCTTCCCAAACTTGGCTGTCACTACCCAACTTCCTCAACTGAACCAGTAGAAAAATAACAAAATGACCTTGGATGTTTTTTGAAAAGTATCAAATGGACTATTACACACTGTAGATAAACATCCAAATAAGAATTCTGACAGTCCCTTTATTAAAGAAGAAGGGGAAGATGTGTATTTTCAGAGTTGTTGAAGGGAAAATGTAACGCTAACCCATTCTTCCCAGTCACAGATGACATAATGGTTCCAAAGGAATCTGCTCAGGTCCAAAAACACAGATTTCACAATTAGGACACACATTAAACTTTGAATCATTTTATAATTCAAATTTTTTAAATGACAAAAAAAAAAGAAAAAACTAAAAACACCAAAACTGCTCAAACATGGAGTCTGAACTTATAAGGAGAAGGCCAGTAAAGATTATACTGTGGTCATCCACACTATATTATCCCAGGATAAAGTTGGGTTTTTTTGTTTGTTTGTTTTTAATTGACAGCATTCTAACGTATTCCAAATGGAAAATTCCTTTTCTCACCATCACAAACCAAGTTCCCACAATTACACAGAACAATACACGTACAAAGTGAGGAATTTTCCACTGGGAGCAGAGAAACTCTTTGGAGAAGACAGATTAAGTGCATGGGATGTGCGACTTAACAAGAGGCCTTTCTAAAGCAGAAAGACTTTACTTCCTCTTTTCACAGTTACAAACAGTTAAGGAAATGCCAGTACTGGCACCAAAGCATTGATACCAATGTACATTTAAAAGCAGGATTTATCCTGGAATAAAAATAGTCTATTATGGACATTTTGCAAAAGTAAATTTTAATCCTCTTCTTAAATTGAAGAGTAGTGATCACAGATGGCAATAATAATTAAGAGGACATATACAAATTGGTCACTAATTTCACTCAAAAGTCACCAGATGTTTGCTGATGACACTGGTAGTTATTATATTACATGGATTAAAATTTTATAGGCTAGGGGTAATATTCATCCATGCCTTTGCTTTTTTTCCTTCCAAAAAAGATGTCAATATTTTTTTTTCTTTTAGCCAGTTCAACTTCACTGTTTGCACACTACTGAAACAAGACCTCTTCAATATCCACCGGTTTGCTGAAGATGTTAAAGCGTTTATCTGTGGCCAGCCTCTTGGTGACATCCCTGAGAAACAACCGCAACTCTCTTAATGTATTTTCCTCCTGGTCTTCCATCCGATTTTTTTCTGATTCTGATAACTGACGAGGAGGAGATGGTAATGCAAGTGGAAGCACTTCCATAGCACACAGAGCTAAAACGAAAAAAAAAAAAAAAAGAAAAGAAAGAAAGAAAAAAGAGAGAGAGAAGAAAAGTGTTAAGGTTTTAACATGGTAAGCCAGGGCTCAATTGGACTTTGTACATTCTCCCAAAACAATCTTTAAAAGAAAGGAAATTACAAGTGTATGTGAACCATGAAAACCCAATAAGTAAAACTTCATATGGAAATTATAAGAGAATAACTTCACCTTATTGAGTAATTACAATAAGTCCCCTGGCCCTCTAAGAATTCTACCCTCATATTTTGTATATTATTTATCTATTTTATTACTGAAATGTTTTATTTTCTACTGTAAAGTGCTAAGAGATGTTCATATAATCTTCATTATATTCTTTAGTCAGACGTATGGATTACAAAAATTATCTTTCAAGCCAGGTGTGGCAGCACATACATTTAATTCCAGCACTCTGGGAGGCAGAGGTAGGAGGATCTCTGTGAGTTCCAAGGGGCTAGAGCAACACAGTTGAGATCCTGTTTCAAAACAAAATGAAACAAAAACAAATACCACAACTTTCATAAAAGCTTTTTAATTTTAATAAAGACAATAAATGTTTTATTTTGTTTTGTTTTCCTGGCATCAGGACTCAAATGCTAAGTATTTTGACTAAATCTTTAACATGAAAAAAGAAACTCAATAAAGCAGCTCAAAGAGAAAGTGGTGGCTCATGCCTGTAATCCTACCATTCAGGATACTATAGGAAAATCATGAGTTCAAGGTCTCTGTCTCAAAAAATATAAAAAGGCAGTAAAATAGCTCGGTGGGTAAAGTTCCTTGAGGCTTAAATTCAATCTCCAGAATCCATATAAAGGTACAAGGAAATAACCAACTTCACAGAGTTGTCCATCAAACACAAGCACAATAAGTAAAGAATTTAAAACATAAAGAAAAATAAAATATTAAAAAGTAAAAAAATAGAAAATCCAAGCCAGGCATCATTATTCACTCCCAGCACTTAGATTACTGAAGCAAAAAGTTCATGGCTAGCGTGGGTTACAGATGAGTCTACTTCAAAATAAATAAAAAAATAAATTCACATAGATGGGACTAAGACTTATCTAAGAGTATATGTATTATGTTATAAATAATGTCATATTATATATTATGAATATATATTAATAATATATTATGTAACATAACATATAAACAACAAATAACAAAACAAGTAGATATTTATAGAAAGGTAAGAACATAACAGGAAAGAAAAATATTTAGTATCCTACAAGAACCGTTAAAAGACATGTAAAGAACAAGGGGTGGGGTTAGAAGATAACAAAGTAGTTCTGGAAGACTTGGAAAGAGTGGGTGTATTAAAATACACTTGTGTTGGGGCTGGAGAGATGGCTCAGTGGTTAAGAGCACTAGCTGCTCTTCCAGAGGACCTGATTCAACTCCTATCACCCCTATGTAACCTCAGTTTCAGGAGACCTGACACCCTCACAAGGACATATAAGCAGGCAAAACACTAATGTTCATAAATAAAGAAAATATTAAAAAATATACTGAGATATATAAGAAATTCTCAAAGAATTAATTTAAATGGCATTTTTAAAATGGGTAATATGGGTTTAAAATATTAAAAATATACTGAGATATATATGAAATCTCAAAGAATTAATTTAAATGGCATTTTTAAAATGGGCAATACGGTTTTAAAATTATCTTAACAAAAATGTTTATTTCCTCATAACGTTGAAAGATTAAGGAGCAGGACTGCATCTTTTATGTACCTTTACAAGTGGGGGAAATAAATCCTCTTCAATGTCTTAGACTGCAGGTCTTCCCTAATTCAGAGAGTTGAAACCCAACAAATTCTTTAGCTTTTCTTAATACCATTGCTCCAAACTAAAGAAAAATAAAATGCTTAAAACAAGGCTATGGAAGTCTTTCAAACCCTCATAATATATTCTAAATACTGTTTTAGAAACTTTTCAAGTAAGCCAGAAAAGGCCATATTCTAACCCACTTTGACTCTCAAACCTCACAGTAAACGTGTCTGAGTCTGTAATCGCCTAGGAGGTTTACCTCTGGTTTTGTGTAAAGAAGTGTCTAGTGAGGTCTAAATGAAGAGGGTGGACATTTAGAATGTGGGCAGCACCACCCAATGGACTGGGGTCCCAGGGGAAGGAAACACACTGAGCACCAGCATTCCCCACCAGGCTTCCTGGCTGCAGACACATGATCAGTGTTTTGTTCTCTCTCCACTGTGATACTTTTCTTATCAGGATCAACCGCACCTACTCAAAATGTGAGCCACAACAAGGTCTCCTTCCTTAAGTATTTTTTGTCATGCATTTTATAACAACAAAGAGAAAAATAACTAACACACCACCTCTTAGACGATCAAATCTGCCCTGGTCCACAAAGGAATAACTTCTTTTATTCACAACCTGCCATTTCTAGTCCGGATACTTCAGATAACTGAAACTGAGTAGAACTGTTAACCTTTTTCCCCTTGGCTTTTTCGGCTGTTGAATGCAGACTCTACCAGAAGCTCTGAAGTGCTTGATAAAACTTTAACAAAGATATAATTCTTAATCTCAGATCAAGTAAACACACGGCCATTTTCAACATGTCCACTAGGTCAATGAGATAGCTCAGTGAGTAAAGAAAGGTGTTGGCCTCCAAGACTAATGGCCTAAATATTTCTTTTTTAAAAAATTTTTCTTTTATTACTTTTTAAAAGACAAACTATCTTTTTTCATTTTGCATACCAATTCCAGTTGCCACTCCCTCCCCTCCTCCCATTCCCACTACCTACCCCCCTAGCCCCAACCCCCACCCACTAAACAGAGAGGGTAAAGTACATTGCTTTGGAAAAGGTTCAAGCCCCCTCCCCAGTACTATATCTAAACTGAACAAGGCATCCATCCAAAAAGAATAGGTTCCCCAAAAGCCAGTACAAGCAGCAGGAATAAATCCTGGTGCCACTGCCAGTGGCCCCGCAGTCTGACCCAGCCATAGCTATACAACTCTCACCCACATTCAGAGGAACTAGTCTTATTGAGGGAGCCATGATGGGACTAGCAAGAAACCTGTCACTAGAGAAATTGCCAGGAATCAACAAGGGTGACCCCAGCTAAGGCGCTAAACAACAAAGGAGAAGGTACCTGAACTGGCCTTGCCCTGTAGTCAGACTGATAAATATCTTAAATATCATCATAGAACCTTCATCCAGCAATTGATAAAAACAGAGCAGAGAGCCACATTGAAGCACTGGACTGAGCTTCCAAAGTCCAACTGAAGAGTGGGAGGAGTGAGAATATGAGCACAGAGGTCAAGACCATGATTTGTACACCCACTGAAACAGTTTACCTGAGCTAATGGGAGCTCACCAACTCCAGCCGGACAGGGAAGGAACCAGCATAGGACCTGAATATTTCTTAATTCCATTCTGTCGTTTTTCTTATAAAGGCTTTTGGGACTTACCAGTATGCTTCCTTCGTGGTGGTGCCAACGATGCCTGATGGAGTATAAGTTCTTGGAAAAATTTTCTTCGATCTTCTTCAATAGGCCTTTGAATATATAATACCTCTTCATATTGTATTCTAAAGATACATTTAACCTATACATATAAACAAAGAAAGAGAAAATTAAAAGCATTAGATCAAATTACAATTCCTCCAATATCTAGTACCATTCTTAAAACACTGAACATTAATTCTGCTGGCAAATATGATTTCATGAACTAAAACACAATGGAAAAATGTCCAATTGTCCAAGAACTTAAAAAGTGATTAGGTAATATATATGTAAATATCATCAGACAAAAGCAAATCGAAAAGTTGATTAAACTGATTGATAGACATATCTCAAAGAGTTATTACATAGAACTAAAAAATAATTATTTAGAATCAGGAGCTGGAAGCATATTAACAATAACTTTTTAAACTCTTCATATTTCTTTCAGCCTTGTCTACAGAGTAAGTTCCAGGACAGCCAGCGTTACACAGAGACCTTGTCTTGAAAAACAAAAACAAACAAAATCTTCATATTTGTATTTCTTTTTTAAAATTGATTTTTATTGAGCTCTACATTTTTCTCTGCTCCCCTTCCTGTCACTCCCCTACCCTTCAACCCTCTCCCAAGGTCCCCATGTTCCCAATTTACTTAGGAGAGCTTATCTTTTTCTACTTCCCATGTAGATCAGACCTATGCATGTCTCTCTTAGGGTCCTCATTGTTGTCTAGGTTCTCTGGGATTGTGATTTGTATGCTGGTTTTCTCTGCTTTATGTTTTAAAACCCATGAGTGAGTACATATGATAATTGTCTTTCTGGGTCTGGGTTACTTCACTCAATATGATGTTTTCTAGATCCATCCATTTGCCTGCAAATTTCAAGATGTCATTTTTTTCTGCTGTGTAGTACTCCACTGTGTAAATGTACCATATTTTCCTTATCCATTCTTCGGTCGAGGGGCATTTAGGTTGTTTCCAGGTTTAGCTATGACAAACAATGCTGCTATAAACATAGTTGAGCACATGTCCTTGTGACATGGTTGAGCATCCTTTGGATATATATCCAAAAGTGGTATTGTTGGGTCTTGAGAAAGGTTGTTTCCTAATTTTCTGAGTAATCTCCACACTGATATCCAAAGAGTTTGTACCAGTTTGCACTCCCTCCAGCAATGAAGGAGTGTTCCCTTTACCCCATATCCTCTCCAGCATAAGTTGTCACCAGTGTTTTTGATGTTGGCCATTCTTACAGGTATAAGATGGAATCTCAGAGTTGTTTTGGTTTGCATTTCTCTGATGACTAAGGATGTTGACCATTTTCTTAAGTGTCTTTCAGCCATTTGAGATTCCTCTGTTGAGAGTTCTCTGTTTAGGTCTGTACTCCATTTTTTTATTGGATTATTTGTTCTTTTGATGACCAATTTCTTGAGTTCTTTGTATATTTTGGAGATCAGACCTCTGTCCAATGTGGGGTTGGTGAAGATCTTTTCCCATTCTGTAGCTGCCATTTTGTCTTGTTAACCGCATCCTTGGCTTTACAGAAGCTTTTCAGTTTCAGGAGGTCCCATTTATTAATTGTTTCTCTCAGTGTCCGTACTACTGGGATAATATTTAGGAAGTGGTCTCCTGTGCCAATGCATTCAAGTGTACTTCCCACTTTCTCTTCTATGAGGTTTAGTGTGGCTGGCTTCCTGTACAATAAAAGAATTTCTGGAGGCATTACCATCCCTGACTTCAAACTCTACTACAGAGCTACAGTACTAAAAACAGCCTGGTATTGGTATAAGACAGGAGGACCAATGGAACCGAATCAATTATTCCACACACTTTTGAACACTTGATTTTTGACAATGAAGCAAAAAATATCAAATGGAAAAAAAGAAAGTATATTTAACAAATGGTGCTGGCATAACAGACTATCAACACAGAAGAATGATAATAGATCCATATCTATCACCATGCACAAAACTAAAGTCCAAATGGATCAAATACCTCAACGTATTTGTATTTCTTTGTATTTCCCATGCTCTGTTTTCCCTACCAAGTCTATTTCACTGTATCCTCTGGAATCTTGGTTCTGCTGTCAATTAAAGTAAACTTTTAGACATTTGATAGACTATCCCATCATACCTTACATGAAAATTCAAAGTAAACTTAAGTCAGTAGTTCTCATCTCAGCAATCACCTCTCATCTGTCCACTTATCTAGGCTTTCCATACACTACCCTCTTTTACAAGATATGCTACTTAAATCCTTTTACACCATCCACATTTGTCACCATGACACTTAACACGGTCTTTGATTTTTTGTTTGTTTGGCTTTAGGTCTAACTTCTACCTTCTAGGCTCCAAACTTCCTGATAAAGCTTTTTTTGCACCATTTAATCCCTGCACTTGGGAGGCAGAGGCAGGTGGATCTCTGTGAGTTCGAGGGCAGCCTGGTCTACAAGAGCTAGTTCCAGGACAGGCTCCAAAGCCACAGAGAAACCCTGTCTCGAAAAAAAAAAAAAAAACTTATCTTATTGTTTCAAATATTTCTCCCATTTTTTGTTTACCTTTCATTCTATCAATAGTGCTCAGTAATATACAAAAGTTTTAAAATTTTTTAAGATCCAACTTATTTATATTTAGCACTTTTTGTTTATTTTTGCTTTTTTGGTGTCATGTCCAAGAACTCACTATCAAACATGGTGTTATAAAGTTTTACACCTATCTTCAAAGTTGTCGATCCCATTTATCCCCATCTCCATCCATTCCTCCTCCATCTCCATTCAATAAATAAAAAAGATATTGAATGCATGAATAAGAAATTGGACCCCATGGGGAGGGGACAACTGAAAATGGAACAAAGACCCAATTGTAAGACATGGCTCTATACAATCCTAGAAGAGAATAACTCCTTGGTTTTGGCCTTATACCAAAACACCAAGCTGTTCCCCTTAAATAAAGACAATCGAAATAAATTTGGAGGGCTGGAGAGATGGCTCAATGGTTAAGAGCACTGGTTCTTCCTTCAGAACCCAGGTTCAGTTCCCAGGACCAACAAGGCAGCTGACAAATGTCTTTAACTCCATTTCCAGAGGATCTGAAACTAAATAGTTAATTTTATTACAAGGCCTTCTTCTTGGTTCTGTAGACACTAAGCACACACAAGGTACACAGACACACATGCTGGCAAAACACCCATAAATATAAATAATAGAATTAAAAAAATTTAAAAGAATTACTATTAGTACATGATATTTGAAATCAGAGACACTTTAATTCAAATCTTTGCTCTGTCATTAAACAGTGGTGAGACCCTGAGTAAGGCCCTGCAGCTCCACAGCCTTTGTTAACACAGAGCAATGACTTCTAAAGATTTTGAGAAACATTGTATGACACCGAACACAGTTCTTCAAAAATAAACACATTCATTTAACCCGGTATTCTAGTAATAGTTATTTCTATTATGAAATAGATGCATACTAAATGTTTAAGAAGATATGAAAATAAACATAAAAAGTTCTATTGTTTTTCTGGACTACTGGACTAGAAGATAGAAACATTAAGAGAATATAAAAGAGATTTTATTTTGTCCTAATACCAACACACAGGTCCCATGAAAATAGTTCGTCGTTGAAATATAGAGCAGAACTAGACATGGTAGCTCACATTTAGGGGGCTATTTAGGGACTAAGGCAAGAGAACTGTCATGAGCTTGAACCTAGCCAGGGATAGATAGATGGATGGATGGATAGATGCATGTATGCATGCGTGTATATATATACACGCATACATACATACATACACACATATGATGCAAACCTTTTTTCCATTTACAGTAGTACTTATTACATAATATTTTTAAATTGCACAATTATACAATCAGTATACAGAGAATTCATATAATCTTCACCTCAAAATGTAGAAATTCTTAATATCTATGATTCATAAAAGCTAAAAATACAGCTGGGCGGTGGTGGTGCATGCTTTTAATCCTAGCACTTGGGAGGCCGAGGCAAGTGGATCTCTGTGAGTTCGAGGCCAGCCTGGTCTACAAAAACTAGTTCCAGGACAGGTTGCAAAGTACAGAGAAACCCTGCCTCAGGGTGAGGGTGGGGAGCTAAAAATGTAGAACATCATATAAAAGGAAAAGAAGCTGAAATCTTAAGTTCAATGCTAACAAACTTCTAATGTTTCAGCTGCAATCAGTACCTTGATTCTTCTGACTACCACACACAGCTAAACTATACCCTCTACTAATGATAAACTAAAGTTATGATTAATAGCATTGTGAGTGGGTGGCTGATGGAGGAAGGTCACTGGCTAATAAAGAAACTGCCTTGGCCCATTAAATAGGCCCAGCCTTTAGGTGGGTGGAGTAAACAGAACAGAATGCTGGGAGAAAGAGGAAGTGAGCTCATACACCTTAGCTCTGTTCTCTGGGGCAGATGCGATGAAGCTCCGACCCAGGATGGACATGGGCTAGAATCTTCCTGGTAAGTGCACCTTGGGATGATACACACATTATTAGATATGGGCTAGACCAGGTGCGAGAGTTAGCCGAGAAGAGGCTAGATATAATAGGCCAAGCAGTGTTTAAATGAATACAGTTTGTGTGTTGTTATTTCGGGTAAAGCTAGCCAGTGGCAGGAGCTGGGTGGCAGGAACGCAGCCCGCAGCTCCCTCAACAGGTGGCTACTCTTACAGGGGACCCAAATTCAGGTCCCAGTACTCACGACAGAAAACTAACTACTAACTGTCTGTCACTGCAGTTTCTGGCCTTTGTGTGCCATTGAACACACATATATACACAAGCACACATAATTTAAAAATAAAAAAGGTTTCAATAAATTAACTATTCTACTCAGGCCACTAAGAGGTCTCAGCAGGCATAGATATTTACCACACAAGCCTGATAATCTGAGTTTGATCTGTAGAACTCAGAATGAAGGAGGGAGCTGACTCCCAAAGGTTATTGTCTGACATATACATCATGACCTGCATATGCACATACAATATATACATACAATAATAATTATTACAATTATATTATTATAAAATTTAAAAATAAATTGCTTTCCTATAAGAGCAACAAATTATTCAAATTTATTCTATGAAAACAACTAACAAAAAGTGAAACATGAAAGAACTCAGGAAATAAATACTTTAATCAACAAATTCTATATAATCATGTTTATATTACATAAAACATAAATATTTTAGATGAACTTTATTTTACTGTATCTCCTAGAAAACTATTTCTCACTAAGTACTTCTAAAACACACCATTTGAAGATAAAGAAAGACTGGAGTATTAAAATTTTTTAAGCAATTTCATTCAATGCCAATTTCTTCCCCTCAACTAATCATGATTTTACTTTAAGTCTGAACTCAAAAGTAAATTTCAGTTATTTTTTTTAAAACAAAAATGCACAATAATATTTAACTCAAATGTAGCCCTACTAATGAAAAGCTACATGTCAAATCCTATCAACTGATCTCACAAAGAAGAATGAAGAGGACCATTATGAAGGGCCTGGTGATTGAAGAGCTCAGCTTTCTGAGGAGTCACACATGTCAGGCTCTGTTCTACACATGAACTGTCTCAGTCTTCATAGCAATGAGGAAGATTATAGCAAACAAGAATAGTGGCTAATAAGCTGTAGATCTTGTATACAAATCCTGATTTTACTCTAATTAAAAGTTGTTTAATTTAACAAGTCAACTATTTTTTAATAAGGCAAAATAAATATTGCGGTGCTTCTTACCTCTTCAGGGAGCTCACTGTACATGGTTTCAGAGGTAGACAATAAAAATATAGGTGAAAAGGATGGTATATCCTGTAGCAGGGTCAGAAAAGTTGCTCTCACAGTCTCGCTGACAGCTTCCCACCAATCACCAATATGAGGCATATAAACAACACTAGGTACTGTTCTTCGAGCTTCTCGAAATATCTAAGGAAAGAATAAGTGTTTTTTAAGCTCAAATTGAGTATTCTCTCCCCCCCCCCCACTCACACACCCCTGGAGACAGGGTTTCTTTTCTCTGTGTAGCTTTGGTGCCTGTCCTGGAACTAGCTCTTATAGACCAGGCTGGCCTTGAACTCACACAGATTCATCTGCCTCTGCTTCCTGAGTGCTGGGATTAAAGGTGTGTGCCACCACTGGCCTCAGTTCTCAAACTGAGTACTCTAAAGCCTACATAGCAACCCCTGTATGCATTATATATATATATATATATCAATTATGTTCAAAATTAATTTCTTCAAGATAAGATATGCAAGTCTATATAGGTAACTCCTATGTATTCCTTCATCCCCAAAAGGGTATTTTTCAATTTAACTACTCCTATTCGGTACATATTAATAAGATAAAGGTAGAAATTGTTTTATTTATCATGTACAATAAGACATACCACTATAAAAAATGCTGCAAATAAAAAAATAAGCATAACATTTCTATTGCCTATGTTAATTTAAGAGTTAGTGAGCTTCAGTAAGGAAGAAAAAGACAACATAGTTGAAATACTTAGGCACAGGGCCTAAAATCACTCAACACATGAATACATATTTTGGCCATGTTGTACTACCCTGAAGCTTAAATTTAGTGAACTTTCTGCTTACACACTTATTCACCTCTTTCTATTACTTAAGCTTTAATTCTTCATAGTCACAAAATATCCTTACTCCTCAAAAGAACATTAATAAACTGGACAGTAGTAACATATGCTTTTAATCCCAGCACTCAGAAGGCAGGCAGACTTCTGTGAGTTCAAGGCCTGCCTGGTCTTCAAAGCAAGTTCCAGGATAGTCAAGGCTATCCAAGGTAGCCAAGAGTAACCCTGTCTTGAAAAGTCACAATCAATCAATAGATAAATGAGCAAGGAGCTCTGAGCCATTCCATTATCAGAATATTGTCCCTTGGGAAGCTGAGGATAGGGAACCTGAAATGACCCTATCCTATACCAATACTGACGAATATCTTCCATATCACCATAGAACCTTCATCTGGTGATGGATGGAGATAGAGACAGAGACCCACACTGGAGCACTGGACTGAGCTCCCAAGGTCCCAATGAGGAGCAGATGGAGGGAGAACACGAGCAAGGATGTCAGGACCACGAGGGGTGCACCCACCCACTGAGACAGTGGGGCTGATCTATTGGAAGCTCACCAAGGCCAGCTGGACTGTGACTGAAAAAGCATGGGATAAAACCGGACTCTCTGATCATGGCGAACAATGAGGGCTGATGAGAAGCCAAGGACAACGGCACGAAGTTTTGATCCTACTTCATGTTCTGGCTTGGTGGGAGCCTAGCCAGTTTGGATGTTCACCTTCCTAGACATGGACAGAGGGGGGAGGACCCTGGACTTTCCACAGGGCAGGGAACCCTGACTGCTCTTTGGACTGGAGAGGGAGTGGGAGAGGAGTAGGGGGAGGGGGAGAGGAGGGGGGGGGGGAGGGGGAGAAGGGTGGGAGGAGGGGGAGGGAAATGGGAGGCTGGGAGGAGGCGGAAACTTTTTTTTTCCTTTTCATAATAAAAAAAAAGAATATTCAAAATGACATTTCCTCGGTTGTTAAAAACGATACTTCTCGGCAAACTTGGCAAACACACAATAGTAAGAACCAGATTGGTAAACCAGAATTTCTCTTCTCTATGGGTAAGTTAACAGCTGTTGAGCCCATCACTGAATTCTTGTATGTTAATATACAATCTTGTCACTGTTTTTAACAAGTTTAGATATAAACAAGAACATCTGACAATATCTCTTCAATCTAACTTGAAAGTTCTATTTTCTAGTTATTTCCCTCATTTTAAACAAACTATGATGAGCCTTTGTAATGAAAGATGAATTAGAACCTAACAGAAATTATCAGTAGCAGATGTGGTAATGCATGCCTATAATTCTAACTTTGTAGGTGGCTGAAGCAAAAGAACTGCAAGTTCCAAGACAGATGGGGACTACATATCAAGTCTGAAGCCAACCTGGGCTATATAGAAAGATCTTCACACACACACACACACACACACACACACACACACATAAACATACAGGCAAAAAATTATGAGAAATACAGAAATTTTCTTAAAAATAAAAAGAATTATTTTTATTTCAAGAGCATGCTTACCAATTACATGAATTTATTCAATAATATTTTATACATTAAACTTTTTGAATAACATGATATGTGCTGGCAACTCAGTAAGTAACCAGAGGCGCACACAGACTCTCCCCCAAGCATGAAGAAACAAGTGATGTTCCTTCTCACATGTGTGCTCCTTCCTTTCTTGATATTTGCATATCCACCAATCCAGAGCAGCTGTACAACCCAGTTCTACTTCAGGATTCACAAATGCTAACTTTACATAAAATACTCTTCCTAAATCTTAAAAATTCATGGTTTTTTCCCTCCTTGAAGCTCTCACAGAACTTCATAAAAGCAGAATAGCATAAATAATTGGCAAAAGGAACAACTCACACAGAAGTTCAAAGGCAACTGAGACATTCATTTAAAAAAAATTACTGCATGTCACCAAGATCAGTCATGGTATGAGGAAGACAGTAACTAATTCTTACTGCCACTATCTAATTCCCCAGTATGTGCTGGTAAACTAGGAAGGAGAGAAAGGTAACCAAAGCAAAAAGACTAGCAAACAATAGCTTACTCATAAACTTCATAAATCAACCACTAAATTTAGCCATGCAAGTTATCCCCACATGCCCAGTGTGTAAGAGAAAGCAAAACATCCCTGCACAAAAATAATTTTGCCTATCATTCTAGTGCTTCTGTTAGATTGTCTAGGAATACATGTTGAAAATATTCAGTTGTTACCATGCATCAGAGTGAGTACACACTGCACAGAAGGTTAGGGATAATAAGAACCTCGTAAAGCCAGATGTGAAACAATGCAGTCTAGCAAACGCACTGCCTGCCTGGCAGCCATAAACTACACACAAACACAACCAATTCTCAAAGATAAGGGTTTGCTTCGATTTCTTTTTTCTTTTTATCAAATCCTCTCCAAAATTTATAATTTGAACATAACATTCTGTTATTTCCGGTGCCTCTAGGAAAATACCCCTTTCCTTATAGAACTTAAAAACCGTATTAGAAAGCCTAAGCAGGTAAGTCTAACACAAATAGAAATCTTTGGACTTCACCTTTTTACTTTCTAGTCCGTGCGTATAATAACTTAACAACGGGAGACTACATGAGATAAACAACATCTAGAGATTATTTCCATGTTTCTTCTAAGCCCTTAGTTGGGAACCATGTTTACCTTCTAGAAAAACTAAAAAACACTATTAAAGTATTTTCCCTTTTAATTCCTTGGTTTGTATCTCACAATACTACAGTAAGCTTTCATAGTTTTAAGTATAAAACCAACTTGTTCTAATTTCCCATTTTTAAAAAGATTTATTTATTTTATGTATATGAATGCTCTATCAACTTTATGCCAGAAGAGGACATCAGATCCCACTATTCCTGGTTGTGAGTCACCATGTGGTTAACAGGAATTGAACTCAGGACCTCTGGAAGAGTAGCTAGTGCTCTTAACTGCTGAGTGATCTCTCAAGCCAGAATTTCCCAGTTTTTTAAACTAAAAAAAAATATAGCTTCGTGGTAAAATGCTTGCGCAGTATGTGGAAGAACCTAAGTTCAATCGGGAGCACTTAAAGTAAATAACAAGCCTGAAACTAGCATTTTAAAATTCTTGAGTATAATAAACATCAGAAAAAAGAAATGCAATCCTATTGTGACTTTTGAGTTATTGGTTTGGGAATAATGTAAAAGCAATCCTTCAGTAGTTTACCCATTATCATGAGACTGTGTTTTGATGTTGGGGATACAAGGTCCTGGGGATGGAACCCAGGGCTTTGCACACAATAGCCAAGTGTCACTGAGCTACATCCCCTGTTGGTAACTTTTAAAGTTATGGTCTAAAATAGTCTTTCTGGAGTCAAATAACTGTAATTCAGAGTAGAAAAATAGTCTAGTTTTAATGAAGTGGCACCTAGCTGGGAACAACTGATGCCATTTGAGAACTAGGAAAATACTCACCTATAAGGTGTCTTGGATTGGTGGATGTGCAAGGTGTAGTAGAAAACAGAAAAACTGTTATAGAGAAAAAAAGACAGTAGGCCAAATTACTGAACCAACCGTTTCAAATACCTCTGACATGACCAGCACTCTTGCACAAGCAAATTGAACAAACACCAATGTCTGTTCACACTTCATTTTCATTTCTTTTCAGCATCCTTCTTGACCCAGATATTACAGTCTCTTAACTAGGTTTTCTTTTAATTACTCCTGTTAAATATCAAAGGCAAAACCCAAGCTACTGGAGCTAGACATAGCCAAATCAGGGGAGTACTAATGAGACAAACTGTACTTCTAAGAGTTCTAGTTATCTGAAAAGCCAAACTTACAAGACAGTACTTAAGCACCAAATTCAATAGTTTGGGGGCTGGGAGTACTGCTCAGTGGCAGAGCATTTGCCTCACGTGTGTCCACAGACCTCTCTGTGTGAAAGTTTCCCCATTTTCTTTCTTCATTTTGGCAGCTCTAGGAATCAAACCCAGAGTCTTGCACAAGTTGCTCAGTGTTCGACCAATGAGCTATATACACAGCTCTGTGCATTTTTTAGGTTAAGAATTTGCAGCCCCATTATAAAACAGCTATTTTGTTTAAAAATTGAAATCTACATGAAAAAACATCAAACTCAAATGTGAATAAAGCAGAAAGCTCAAAGACAGCTATGCTCTGACTTGACTAAAAGGGGCTATCACAAGAAAGAGGTGAACATCTTTATGTCACCAAGAAACTTCCAGAATTTGACATAGTTACTTAATATTATTTAATATTATAAATATACTAAATTTATGAAACACAGCTAAAATCAAAATTTGAGGAGATAAAATTCAATTTTTACAACAATGTTAAACCACTAATGAGTTCCTTGTATCTTGCTATCACAAGATACATAATATCACTGATGATTTATTCTTTTGACATCACTTTGCTACATCTATATTCTATTCACCTAAGATCTACTGAGCATGTTCTGTGAAAGCAAGACATGTCTGACCTCTGAAAACTAAGGGTTCAGGAAAAAGAGGCACTAAATTTTTCTACATAAGTATAAAACCAGCCAGGGATGAAGCACACCTCTACTGGTTTCTGAACTGTGGCAATACTACAAAACAACCTCTGTGGGAGTTAAATTATCTGATATTTTTATTCCTTAAAAACTTTTAGAACTCAGCAACTGCTACATATTCTCAAGCAATATAATTTAATTTACTTACAAACTCAAGGAGAGTGTATGCCACAGAAAAACCCAGACACCATGTGAATTAACACAAAACAACCAGAGTGTGTGTTTTCACTTCAGCAGCACATAAGGTAAAACTGGAACAATACAGGAGATTAACATAGCCCCTAAACAAAGACAACATGTAAATTTGTGAAGTGTTCAATATTTTTTGGGAGAGAGAAGATAGAAAGAGAGAGGAGAGAATAAAAAGTTGGGTAGGCAGGAAAGGAGGGAGGCTCTGAAAAGAGCTGGGGAATGAACATGATCGTTGTATGAAAAAATTTTAAGTAAACTAAAAGGGGGGTGATGAACTGCTGTAAATATCAATCCTTTAGTATTTGATAGTACTAAAGTACTTAGTGCTAAAGTAGTACTTAGTAGTACTAAAGTACTTTGGTACTAGTAAAAAAAGGTTTTCCCCGGGAACTTTCATATACTTTCTTACTGGGAATAGAAAAATACTAAAATTTTCACTAAAATAAACACTATACAATACCTAAATTCTAAGCTTTTGATAAACCACATAAAGGGACTAGAGACACAGCTCAGTGGTTCAGAGTACATGCTTCTCTTCCTGAGGACCTGAGTTCAATTAAGAGCACCTGCCTGAAACTCCCACTCCAGGAGAATCTCATCTCTCTGACCTCTAGGGCATTTGCATTCATCTGTACACATACAGATATATACAGATAATTAAAATAATAAAAAACCTTTGCAAAAGGAAAAACCACATAGATTAATTTTAAATATAATATCCGACCTTTTTTCTAAGTCAATAATGAAAACAATATAGGACAGTATTCATTCTTTGAGAATGAAAAATAAGTGAAAATATAAGTGGAATCACATTATTGTTGATTTTTAGTCTTTTTTTTTTTTGTCTCTTGTAGGTTTTAAAGGGAGGTGAAGAGAGAACATTTCATGTAATTCAGGGTGACCTTCAACTCATTATGCAACCAAGGATGACGCTGAACTCCTGCTCTACCTGTCTCCACCTCCAAGTGCTAACACGCTGATTATGTTGTTGTTTTTATTCTACTTTATTACATACTAATCCCAACAAGTCTCTTATTATAGATTACTAACACCTGAGGGTGTATTGTAGGGCTCAAAAACTACATATGAAAAATAGCAGCCATGAATGTGATTTCCCATTTACCTTGGAGTACTATGACATGCTCAATAACGTAAGAGCAATATGTGTACACGAACAAAACCTTATTATACCTACTAATGACCAGAGACTGCTGAGAACTGTATCTCAAATTTGATCTAATTAAGACATAGAATGATAACACATTGGGGTGCATGTTTAAAATGCAAGTTCCTGAAACCTATTCCAAAATCAGTAAAATAGGACTTGTGGGTCTAGAGTAAAGGAGTCAGAAATTTCAGTAAATGCCTCAAAGCAATTCTAAGGCACACTAAATCTTAAACAGTAAGGGAAACTCCTCAGTAGGCATTAACTTCTCTAATATATTTCATTCCTACTATTAACTAAGATACCAGGCAGTCAGGTGGCTAAACAAAGTTTTGATATACATTTTGCTGTGTATGTTTTAAAGAACAAAGTTACCACCATCCACATAGTGTAAAGAACACAAAGGCTTTTTTTTTTTTCATTTTATCATGCATAAAAATACACCCCTTTAAAGGTCACTTAAGATTTCTTCCCTCTTTTCATGTTCATACTCTACTATTAAATACCCAAACTACTTTGTATTAAGTATGTTAGATGGTACCAGTTGGGTAGATACTTTTGAAGTCAATCCCAAGAACACACATGCTGGAAAAAACTATCTTCCAAAAGTTTTACTCTGGCCTTCACATATATACATGGCACATGTGTGTGCACATGCATACACACAAATAAGTAAATAGCTGTGGAAAAAATCACATATATCAGAGAAACTCATGCTAAGTAATTTGCCAGCCGGGTGGTAGTGGCACTGACCTGTAATCTCAGCACTCGGGAGGCAGAGGCAGGCAGATCTCTGTGAGTTGGGGCCAGCCTGGTCTACAGAGCTACTTCTAGGACAGCTAGGGCTGTTACACAAAGAAAAAAACAACAACAACAACTTGCCACAGACTAACCCTTCAGTTACACCATTACTTAAGAGTTGATCCTCAGGGCAGAGAGGCAGGCAGGCAGGCAGGCAGGCAGGCAAGCAGGCAAAAAGGAAGGAAGGGATACCAAAGAAAGCAACTTTTTATATGTACCTGAATCACACTCTCTACCCTAGAATGTTCTCGTATCAATTTACAATCAGATTTGCTGACCTTTCTGAGTTATTAAAAAATTAGACTTGGGGGCTGGAGAGATGGCACAGTGGTTAAGAGCACTGACTGCTCTTCCAAAGGTCCTGAGTTCAATTCCCAGCAACCATATAACTGCTTATAGCCATCTGTAATGAGATCTGGTGCTCTCTCTGACCTGCAGGCAGAACACTGTATACAAAATAGATAGATAGATAGATAGATAGATAGATAGATAGATAGATAGATAGATAGATAGATAAATTTAAAAATAGGAATTAGTCTTATTAAATAACAATCTCTTTTTTGGATACATTGTTCAAGAACTACTACATTTATAAATTTAAAAAATTGTGCCAGGTGGTGTACTCCTTTAATCCCAGCACTTGGGAAGCAGAGGCAGGTGGGTCTCTTGAGGCCAACCTGGTCTACAGAGTGAGTTCAAAACAAGTCTATACAGAGAAACCTTGTCTCAAACCCCCACCCACAAAAGAAGCAAGAAAGAAGAAAGAGGAGGGAGGGAGGGAGGGAGGGAGGGAGGGAGGGAGGGAGGGAAAAAATCTTAAGACACAAATAAACAGTGATTACCTACTCCCTGGCAATGTTCAGTGAGTCTAGAAGATCCCATTGCACAGCTCCAGGTAAGACCTTATTTAAGCATGAGTTCTAAGAAGCCCCTCAGCTGTACTGAGTTTTCTCAGTATACAACCAAAGGGTGAAAACCAAGGATCTTTATAATTTTTTCTCCTACCAAAGAATACCTCTCTCCTTCTACTTTTCCCATCAACATGGAGAGAAAAAAAAAAGAAAGCCAAAAATGAAAAAGAACAAAAAATATAAAGTTAGAATACCTATTTAGCCAAGTATGATTCTTTCTTAACAAAGCCTATACTCCTGGTACTATGAAGCTGCAGTTCACCACAAGGCGTCCTGAGTACTGCTTACTCATGCTTTACTACACAAACCTGTAATCTGAATCTCTAGACACACAGCAAACACACCAGACAACTGCAGAACAGAGGTCCTCTCTTTTTAAAAATGGTTCTCTTTTAATGTGACTTTTTTCCAAGCTGTGCTGGACCTTGTGGAAATCCTTACCTCAGCCCTCCAGGGTGCTGGGATTATAGGATTTAGCCAAGACAACCCACCAAATTGGTCTTGTTTCTTGTTTCATTATTTAAAGAGACAGATTTTGGTGACAGATGGGAAAGACAGTTTTAACATCAAGCATGGAGACCTCACTTTGACCCCTGCCACAAACATCAAAAGACACACATGGGAGCATGCACTTTTAATTCCATTGCTGGGGAGGTGGAAACGAGAGGATATTGAGTTCTCTGGCCAGTCAACATGGCCTAATCATACAATCCCAGGTTCCAGTAAGAGACCCTATCTCAAAAACAAAGTTGGAGGCACCTGAGAAATGATGCTGCAGACTAGCTTCTGGCCTCGATGGGTACCATCGTGCGCACACACACACAAAGAAAAAGCAGAGGTAAGGAAAACCTCACTAAACTACCCTCGCTCATCTTGTATTGTACATCAGGGCTGAAATGATCCTCCTGCTTCAACTTCTAAGTAACTGGGAATACAGAGACAACACCACACCTAGCTCCTTCAAAGCTATTTCATCTTTCACTTGCTTGATACAGTCAAATATAAATGCCATAAAATAAAAAAAAGTTAAAAACACTACAATAGTTGCAATTTTAGGTGAGACCTTTTCTCCTTTATATTTGTAATCATAATCTGCATTTATAAAGTTGGCTGAAAAACTGGTTCCACAAAAGAGCATCGGTCAATATGCACAAGGACCTAGGAGATCCTCATCACCACAAAACTAAAACATAAGACATATAGGAAACAAACACTAAAGTTTAATCATTTCCAACTACACAAATTTCTGCTCCTAAATCAAAGCACCATTTATGAATAGATTTTAGGAATTATTTGCATGCCTTCTTCACTTTCCTATCAACCTGTGTAAAACACCCTCATCTCTGTTGACTTCACAGCATATCATAAGCTACACATACCCGCTTTACCCGTCCTCCATTAAGGAACTTTCAGTTTATGAATTATTTGGTTTGTCAGTATGCACAAAGTCATGGATACATATCTTTATGCACCTGACAACGGGTAGTTAACAGATCTTTTGGGGAAAAAATTCACAAATACATAATTCTGGCTCAAAGGTATATATTACTTTAAATTTTGTGTAAAAAAATGCCTAACAATGCCCTGAAATAGTCAAATAAATTTACATTTTCATTTAACTAAATACAAATATCTAGCATATCCAGTGTTTCCATAATTAAGTTGTTTTTAGTAACTCTAAACAAATCTTGTAACTTTCTTTTACATGTAAAAGTAAAAATCTTTTTTAGTTGGTTATTTTTTTCTACTTATAAATATAAAGTAAATTTTCTTTTTTCTTTCTTTTTTTTTGGCAGAAGTGAGAAGCTAGTAAGATAGGTATGCACAATATAGTCTAGGTTCATCTTATATCAATCTTGATATTCCTGCCTCAACATCCAGAATGTTGATATATTTAGGAGTGTACCACTATACCTTGCTATGTTCTGCAAATTTTTATGTTAGACTTTATTCTTTTTTTTCTGATTTAAATACTATTTATTTTTTAAGAAACTTGTTCTTAATATCTGTATCAAAAATAAATTTTTCACCAGGCTATGCCAATTTTATTTAAAGAATATATTTGCTATATGAAGTTCAAATTCTGTGTCAAGTTCCTTTGAGTTCTAGTTTTTGTACATTGTTTAGAAACTAATTTCTTAGGCAAATGATGATAAGTATATGGATCTTGTTAATTCTCCTAGTTCTTTTGCACTTTCAAGGCTAACCTAGAATTTACATATACAAACAAATAAGAAATGGAATTATTTTTTTCTATTGTCCCTGTTAAGGACAGCCAGTTTTCCATGACCATATTACTGATATGAACTGTATTTGTAGTGACCACCATCATTATATACTATTTCTACAGAGGTCAAGTTATGAAATTTTTGGTCCTATCATTTTGTCTATTCCTAAGCAGTATTATTGCCATCCTGGTATAAAAACCTAGCAAAGTTCCTTTATTGTACTTTTTTCTCTATAATTCACCATGTGACTCTCATGTTTATTATCTAGAAGAAAAAGAAATCTTGTTAGGTTGCTCCTTCTAGATTATAGTGGGATTATAAATGGGATTACACTTAAAATAAATAAATAATTTAGCTGAAAATAATTTATAGCATTCTTATTTTAATCTTAGAAGTAATAAAAATAGCACCCATAATTACAGCTGTGTTGAGAGTACTGTTTACTAAGCCTATGTAATGTATTTATTTTAATACAACCTCATGCTAAGTACAAGTATCTTCATATCTTTTTAAAAAATTTTTTCAACTAGCTCTTTTTTAAAAAAATGTTTTTATTGAGCTATATATTTTTCTCAGTTCCCCTCTCATCCTCTCCAGTGATCCTCACACTCCCAATTTACTCAGGAGATCTTGTCCTTTTCAACTTCCCATGAAGATTAGATCCATGAATGTCTTCTTTGTTGTCTAAATTCTCTGGGATTGTGAATTGTAGGCTGGTTTTTCTTTGCTTTATGTCTAAAAGCCAATTATGAGTGAGTACATATTATATTTGTCTTTCTGGGTCTGAGTTACCTCACTCAATATGATGTTTTCTAGATCCATTCATTTGCAAGCAAATTTCAAGATGTCATTATTTTTTTTCCTCTGTGCAGTACTCCATTATGTAAATGTACTGCCTTTATCCATTCTTCGGTCGAGGGGTATTTAGGTTGTTTCCAGGTTCTGGCTATGATGTGGGAGTGTCACATATCAATCTGTTGATTTCATTGGCTGAGCAATAAAAGAAACTGCTTGGCTGGCCCTGATAGGTTAGAACATAGATGGGAGGAGTAAACAGAATAGAATTCTGGGCGGAAGAGGAAGTGAGGTCAGACTCTGTGCTGCTTCCAGAGGGACCGGACAGCCGCCATGCTCTGCTCTCCCAGGCAGCTGCAACCCACGATGGACTTAGGCTAGAATCTTCCCGATAAGCACACCTTGGGGTGCTTACACACATCATTAGAAATGGGCTAGTCCAGGTGCGAGAATTGGCCTGTAAGGGCTAGAGTTCACGGGCCAAGCAGTTCTTTAAATGAATACAGTTTGTGTGTTATTTCGGGCATAAGCTAGCCAAGCGGCTGGGGTGTTGGGGACGCAGCCCCACCGCCGCTCCATATTTCAACATGGCTATGATAAACAATGCTGTTATGAACATAGTTGAACACATGTCTTTGTGGTACAATTGAGCAACCTTTGGATATACATCCAAAAGTGGTATTGCTGGGTCTTGAGAAAGGTTGTTTCCTAATTTTTTGAGAAATCTCCACACTGACATCCAAAGAGTCTGTACCAGTTTGCACTCCCTCCAGCAATGAAGGAGTGTTCCCTTTACCCCACATCTTCTCCAGCATAACTTGTCATCATCAGTGTTTTTGGTCTTGGCAACATCATAGTCAATATTTAACATATCCTTTCCAATATTTAATTCCCCCAATGTCTGATTCAATCTTGTGTGTCTTAATAATAGTCTGTCTCATTTTTTTTTTTAGTAACAGTCTCCATTAATGACGTTTTCTTTATGACAATTCCCTAAATGAGCTTGGTCTTTAGCATTCTGTATTTATTTGAAAGGTTTATGGTAGCTGTTTTTGACAATCTCTCAGCTTTCCTATTTCCCTAAGCTTGGAACTGTTTAGAAATCAAAGTGAAGTAAAATAATTCACCTATGAAATCACCCAGATTGAGTGCTTTTGACACTTTTTCTTCTTCCACAGTTAGTGCTGTTGAGAGTCTCTCTTTTCTGAAGTTAAATTTGGTAATTTTTACTTTCTTAGTACAGCATTTGGATTTTCTTTAAGTGACACTGAATAATTCTCTTACATGTACAACCTGCAAAAAATTTCTCCTATCCAAAAAGAACAAACATAAAAGTAAATATTACTGGGCAAAGCTCACAGCTAGGATGTATTGAACTGGAAGCAAAACACTGGTGTACAGCTTTATATTCAGACTACAGGTTTAGATAGAAGCCGTCAACAAAGCTTTAGAAGAAGTGCTATTCATAAGCAAAGAATTGTGGATAAAAGACAAATTAAGTTGATACCACTATGAACTGTTTAACAAAAACATACTTCTTGGTGAAAATGCCCCATCTGATAATAACTTTCAATTAAATAATTACAGCACAGTCATCAAGTATTTATAGGTGCCACCTCACAAGGTATACAAGCCATATAAAAATGGGCAAAACATTCAAGTACAAAGTGACATTCATTTTATTTACTGGAAATACCAATATTAAAATATTTAACAAGCAACTCCTGGTTAGCATGCTATCAGACACCTGAGATCAGGAGTTCCATGGCAGTCTGAGCAACGGTTCAAAAATAAGGTTGGAGAGTTGGCTCTGTAGTCAAGTGTTTGCCAAATAAGCCAAGAACTCAAGTTCAGATCACCAGACCCTATGCAAATGCTGAGTGGGCATGATGGCCTACCTTTAGTATTAGCCTCAGGGGGCAGAGACAAGGGACCTCCAAAGCAAATTAGCTACTAAGATTATCTACAGTGGCAATCTCTGGATCTGGTTGAGAGATCTTAGCTCAATGAGTAACAGTGAAGTACTACCCAGGACATATCCAAACATCAATCTCAGGACTCCAGGTGCACTTGTATCCATAATCATGCCCACAAACATGCAGACACAAATGCACACACAGACATGAAAATGGAAAGAAAAAAAAGCGAGAGAGAGAAGGGGAAAACTCTAATGATCTCCCAATATGTAGACACTCTGCAGAGATACAGAAATGGTTACAACATGGTCCCACTTAGCCCCAAAATTTATTTCCCTCACTCCTCTCTAGTTCCAGAATGATACTATTTGCATTGTATTTTTGGGCATATTTAAAAACTGCAGCCGGGCGGTGGTGGCGCATGCCTTTAATCCGAGCACTCGGGAGGCAGAGGCAGGCGGATCTCTGTGAGTTCGAGGCCAGCCTGGTCTACAAGAGCTAGTTCCAGGACAGGAACCAAAAACTACGGAGAAACCCTGTCTCGAAAAATTTAAAAAAAAAAAAAAAAAAAAAACCTGCAGCAAATATAAATAGCTCCATTTTAGAATACTGCTTCAGAAGCCATAAGAACTTCAGAAGAGTTAAAAATCAAGTAAGAAAAACACTAAACTACAAATATAAACATCCACAGTTGAATTATGATCACTATTCTTATAAATCAATTTTTTTTGACACCTCAACAAAACATTATTCCAATTCCTATTATGAGGCTCTAAGTAAAGACAATCTAAAACATCTCTGAAGACTCAACTTTGAAAAAAGGAACCAAAGAGGAGAGAAATGCTTTTCTTTCCTTTCTACAAGATATTACATTTTCAGTAAGGAAGTATCATAGAAAAAAATGAACTCATTTTTAAAGTACTACACACCATACTAACATAAGAATATTAACGAATAATTAATGAAAAGTTAATATTCACCATCCTCTGAACAATCTTCGGCTTACACACTATGTGCACAGTGGCGAGACAAACCTACCTGTGCACATGATTCCTCAGGTGTTTTGGCACTGACTGAGTAAAGTGCTGGGAGGTCGAGTCGATGGACAGAGAACCTTTCTAGTGTATGCAGAAGTGCTGGAGCAAGGTGAGAAGTCTGACCTGAACCTCGTTCTCCAGACAGCAACAAACGAGGCCTATAAGAGGTTGGCTGATGATATGGTGACCTGTAGACACAAAAATTATTTAAAAATTAGATATTCTGAACATGGCCCACAACCATCTATAATGAGATCTGGTGCCCTCTTCTGGTCTGGTCTGGCCTGCAGATAAACAAGCACACAGAACAGTCTAAACATAATAAATAAATAAATAAATAAATAAATAAATAAATAAATAAATAAATAAATCTTTTAAAGAATGTAATAAAGATGAATTTTAAGTTTCTAAATACAGGGTATTCAGGGCTTCATTTCACAGCATTTAAAAAAAAATTATGGCTGGGCAGTGGTGGTGCACGCCTTTAATTCCAGTACTCGGGAAGCAGAGGCAGGTGGATCTTTGTAAGTTGGAGGCCAACCTGCTCTATAAGAACTAGTTCCAGGAAAGGCCCCAAAGCTATAGAGAAACCCTGTCTCGAAAAACCTAAATAAATAAATAAATAAACAAACAAACAAACAAACAAAAATTATGGCCTAAGACAAAGACAATGCAAATTCTTTTTTTTTTTCTATTTTTAAATACATATTTGTTGGTGTATGTGAGGTGTATGGGCATGAGCACGCATAGCCAGAGGAAAATGTCAGAGGTACCTTCCTTCTTTTATTACTTTCTACCTATGGCCTTCAAACAGGGCTTCTTACCAAACTGAAAGCTGGCCATTTCAGCCAGGGTTGAAGCCAGCAAGCTCTCAGAATCTGCTTGTTTCCCTTTAATGCCAGGTGTACAGGTATACACAGTCACATCTAAAGTTTTTTTTTTCTTTAAATATGGGTGTTAGGGATTCTAGCTCAGATCCTCATATTGTAATTACCACTAGTTTGAGGTAAGCCTGGACTAACTACAATATGAGTTCTAGGCTAGCCTAAGATACAAAGAGACACTATATCTCAAGAAAAAAAAAGAAAAGAAAGAAAGAAAGGAAGGAAGAAAGGAAGGAAGGAAGGAAGGAAGGAAGGAAGGAAGGAAGGAAGGAAGGAAGGAAGAAAGAAAGAAAGAAAGAAAGAAAGAAAGAAAGAAAGAAAGAGAGAGAAAAACAATAGGACACATAACATAGCCTCTTGAACACAGGGCCTAGACTTACCTGAATGGAACTTCAGTGACCTTTAACTATGGAATTAATTATGTAAATGGAAGTAATCATAATTTAGTATTTGAAAATTACTTTGTCTTAATTTAAAATTACATTGCATGAAAAATGTTTATTATAGTGTACAACAAAAGTTGCTATACACAGACAGTAAAAAGATAAAAGCAAATAGAAAAAGAAAATTAAAACTAATGCTCTGTCAAAAAAATGTTATTTGTTTAATTAATGAGCGATTTCTAATTCAAAATGTCTTTAGTAGCTTTGGAATCTCTAAACACTCACCTGAAACTTATCAAAAGTTGAAGCACCATGGGTGGTGGTAAATATTTCTTAATGAGGGACAATAGTTGATTTTCAAAGGTAATAATCCTTCCCTACCACAATCCCCCCCCCCAAAAAAACCACACTACCTTTTTTAAATATACAAACTAGTATATAACATTCTTTTTCTTGGGAAAAATGAAAATTAGCTGACTAGCAACGTAATTATATACACACACACACACACACACACACACAACTTTCCAGAATTATGTGTAGACAAAAAAAAAAAAACCCTTCAATAAACTGCACTGGGTTCTAAACATAAGGCAAAAAAGTCATTCTAAACTAAAAGAAATTTAATATACTCACATTGTAAAATGAAGATAAGGTTTAGTTATAGCAGCAGCTGGTGATGGTTTCTTTGGTGATCCTGAGTGACAATTCATCTCAAAAATTGATAAAGTATTCTCATCTTCACTATCATCTAAAATTAGAGTTTCTATATCTGTCAAAAGAAAAGCACAAGAATTGAATCTTATAAATTTGTGTAGTAACAATGCAAAAGCTAAAGAAAATGAGATTAAAAATCAAGTGGCATCAGCTAATATATTACCTAGCGAAAATACAGATTAATTGGGCAAACTAATGAATCTGTAGCATTTTAATAAGTTATAAATACAAGTAACATGATTCAATCGCCATGATAAATTAGTCACATTTACTAAAAGCTGTAATTTGGGAGACTTAGCTAATTTAATAGTCTAGGAAAGAAATGGTGCCCTCATAAAACCCCTCCTGTGAGTTCAATTTGGACAAAACCAATCTATTTCATATCCTGTTCCGGTAATAAGGCAGCTGAGCAAAGGCCAGCTCTTATAAAAGCAACAATAGCAAACTGACCTGTACTTTTGAAATGACATCATGTTTCAAGCAAAAACTTGCCCAATTAAGATGACATTAGGGTGGGGAGAGTACTTTTATCCTAGCACTTGGGATGAAGAGGCAGATGGATCTCTGAGAATTTGAGGCAAGGTTAGCCTATATAGCAAGTTCCAGGCCAGCAAAGGCTACTTATTTAAACCCTTTCTTACAAATAAATAAGAAAGAAAGAAAAAAGAAAAATTGGGGGAGCTGGAAAGATGGTTCAGCAGCTAAGAATACTTAGGACCAAAGTTAGTTCCTAGCACCCATCTGTCAAGTAGCTAATAACCACTTGTATTCTAGCACCAGAGGATCCAATGACTTCTGGGCTCCATATAGCATATACTCACACAGACAGATAAACATATATAAAAAAAATATTTTTTTTTCCAAGACAAGGTTTCTCTGTAGCTTTGGAGCCTTTCCTGGAACTAGCTCTTGTAGCCCAGGCTGGCCTCGAACTCACAGAGATCCACCTGCCTCTGCCTTCCAAGAGCTTGGATTAGAGGTGTGCACCACCACCATTCCGCTAAAATAAATCTTTTTAAAGACTGATTTATTATAAATTTATTTATTATATATGCAGTGTTCTGCCTGCATATATGCTTGCATGCCTGATGAGGACACAAGATCTCATTATAGATGGCTGTGTGGTTGCTGGGAATTGAATTCATTACCTCAAGAAAAGCAGTCACTGCTCTTAACCTTTCTGAGCTATCATCTCCAGTCATGATATGAGGTATTTGATTGTATTGTGTAAAGATACGTCACTGTGATTGGTTTAATAAAAAGTTAACTGGCCAATATCTAGGCAGAGAGAGCTCTGGGAAGAAAGGTAGAGTTGCCAGTCAGACGAAGAGGGAACAGGACATGCAGGAGGAGAGGTAAAAGCTACAAGTCATGGTGCAACATACAGATGAATAGAAATGGGTTAAGTTGTAAGAGCTAGTAAAACAAACCTAAGCTATAGTCCGAGCTTTCATAATTAAAAAGTTCCTGTGTCAAGATTTGGGGGCTGGAAGGCCAAGAAAGCCTGCTATACAGCCTCCATAAAAATAAATCTTTAAAAAGAAAATGCATACTGCATACTGATCTTGCAGAGGACCTAAATTTAGTTCCCAGCACCCACATCAAGCAGCTCACAACTGCCTGTATGTAACTTGGGCTCCATGGAGATCCAAGAGCTCTGGCCTCTTTAGGCACCTGCCTTCAAGTGTATGTGCCCACATACAAACACATGCTTAAAAATAAAATCATCAAAATACATTATTTCATACCAGGAACACACCTTTACACAGTGAGTCCTAGGTCAGCTGGGGTTACATAGTGAGACCCTGTCTTAAACAAACAAACAAACAAATAAAACTACTACTTCCCCTTCTAATTTAATAGATCTTATTTGATTTCAACATAAACCTAAATTTCTTTCTTCCTTTCTCTTTTCCTTTGAGACAAGGTTTCATGTAGTAATGCTGGCCTGACCCTCCAAATGACCTCAAACTTCTGATCTTGCTTCCTCCACCTCTCCGGTAGTGGGATTACAGGTGTACACTACTATGTACAATTTACACAAAACAGAGAACTAAATCAGGACTTCAAGCAAGCTAGACAAGCATGCTTCTCATTGACTTACATCCCCAGCATAAATTTCTTTTATTCCCCCCATGAAAATAGGTGACTGTTTAAAAAGGTGCTCTGATTTAATCTCAGGTCAAAACTCTAATTAATTTTGAAGCTTAAAAATTTAAAACCATGGACAATCAGGTTTGTAGTGATATTTTACTTATGTTTTAACAAATAAAGCTTGCCTGAAGATCAGAGTACTTACTAAGTCACTAGACGCTAGGCAGTGATGTCACACACCTTTAATCCCATGACTTAGGTGACAGGCAGACAGATCTCTGTTAGTTCAAGGCCACCCTGGGCTACAAGAAATTGATTCAGTCTACAATAGAAAACAGAGCTCACAGAAAGGTGATCCCAGCAGTTGGGAGCCTATGCTTTTCATCATAGCACTAGGGAGGTGGAGAAAGAAGTGATATGGTTGGGACAGAGGAATGTAAGATGGGAGGAAACAGGAGCTCATTGCAGCCTGAGGTTTGGTGGAGACATTTGCAGTCTGAGGATCAATCCTGCAGTCTGAGGAGACAATCTGAGGACAGGGTCGCCCGTTTGGTCTGAGCATCGATAGAGGTAAAAGTATCTCTAGTGAAGAAACATTCAGGGCAACCACCATATACAGGCAAAATGCAAGTTATGAAACAGTGATTACTGAAATAAAGTCCTAACTAATCTTATGAGGACACTTTTTTCTTATTTTCACAATATAAACTGTAGTTTACAGTACCTTCTTTCCTGTCGCTCTGGCTAATTTCTGCATGAGGAAATACTTTTTGCAGAACTGCTAAGATGTTGCTGAAGCTTCTTTCTAGTAATGGCCTTATAATCGGGGACAGTGCCTGTCCTGAAGACATCACAGCACGTTGGGAAGCAGGCACAATGTTCTGCATCGCATGGTAAAAGTCTTGGGCACTGAGCACTATCGAGGAAACATCCAGCTGCAGTTTATGACTGCTAGCATAGATCTGAGGGTACCGCCTCCGAAGGGCAATCAGGGCAGCTTCAGTACACAGGGCCTTGATGTCAGCTCCACAGTAGCCTAATGCACAGAAGAAGAAAAGCAACAAAGTTAAGTTCTAAGTACCATTACAGTTTGCTAATGCACATACCTCGTTCTAAAATAATGACACAAATTAGCAATTATACAGTACTTTATTAGCAAAATTAACACTTTAAAATTATCTGATAAAAATGTTCACATAAGGGCTAAGTACTTAAATCTGAAAATGTTCTTAAGTATTTTAATTTAACGAAATTATAAATTAATAATATTAATACAAAAAGTCCTATATTATGTGTCAAAAACCGCTGACTATAATATACAGCTTTCTTCAGCACAATTTTTCAAAGAATTACAATTTCATTTCAATCTTTCATCACTATTCTTAGTCAGTACTTTAACCTATATTACTGAACACATCCTTAATCCTTCTTTGATTTTAGTTTGAGATGAGACCTCACTAAATTGTCCAGCTAGCCTTAAGCTGAGACTTGTGATTCTCCTGCTCTGGCCTCCCAAGTACCTGGGATTACAGGCATGTGTCACCACTCCTGGCTTAACATTACTAATTTCTAAATACATGAAAAAAATGGTACAAAGGTATGCATAAGCAGAGGCTTCAAAACATCATAATTCACTCTAGTTCATAATTCACTGTAATTCATAATTACAGTGTAATAGCAGTTAACATTCAGCTATTCACAGCACTGTAATCCACCCACCAGCTCCACAGGCTAAAGGAATTAGGATTAAAGAAAAAGCTTTCCAGTTTTCCCACACTAACTAACATCATACATCCATTTAGTCCTAATAAACATATACTTTACAAAAAAAATGATCTGCTAAAGGTCCCTGTCGCAAATGAGAACAACAGAAAGGGAGGGAGGGAGGATCCTTCAGATTAGCCACAAACTGGCTTTTCCTATCAGCAATTAAATTAAGTTTCACTTGGTCACATTTATCGGTCAGGCCAGCAGGGGGAGGCATTTGAAAACGTTAGAGCATTGTGCCCTAAACTCAAGCACTATTTCTCCATTAGTAAATCTTCAAAGTATATTTTTCTTCGACATACAATTGTTACACTCTTATAACAAAATGAATAGAGAATATTTGCATCAATTTAAAAAGAGGAAAATAAACACAAATAAGTGAATTTTGTAAAAAAAAATAAACTACCATCGTCAAATAAGAACAACCACATTTCTGTTTCTTATATACATCTACACAGTTAATGAACATGCAGAGGTTCTCTTTACAAAGAGGCTCAAGTTAACAGTGAAAGCTCAGAGGCCAGTGAGATGAAACAGCAACTATAGAATTAGCCACAAATTCTTCAAAAATGTAACATTCTGTGGTTGCCATAATACCAGGCTAATTATATACAACAGCAATATACTATTCATTCTCTCCTAATGAGTTTATTAACAATAACAGACCCCATTATCTAAAGTAAATTTTCAGTAGTTTATCACAACCAATAAACGAGGAAAGATAAGAAATATTTTTTTTACATTTGCTTGTGAGAAAGTGTTTCAGACTTCTATGATTCTCAACTTAAAAAATCATCAGAATGAACAACAAAATGGAAACATAAATACAAACTCTCAGGCTCCACAACAGTGAATTACAGTCTCTGAGGGCTTAAAATTTTAAGTCTGTATTTCGGAAAATGTTTAGAACCACTCACTTAATACATGCTTCACTAGATTCAAATACAGAAGAATCAAACACTAAGAATCACGGCTCTGGATAAACAGAGGTCTCCTAGATAGGCTCTTGTCCTACTGCATTCATAGCACATATGTGTTCTCTCCAGAGTTCTGGTTTAGAAAACAGGTGAGGCTGGAAGTACTACAATCTTCTAAGAGTTAAAAGTTGATTTGTAACACAGAAGCATCCCTTCTCAAAACCCAGACTTCCCCACTGTTAAGCAATGCTCTGGTGAACACAAATAGGTAGAAGCGAAGGAAAACGATTCATTTGTATTACTATCAAGTTCCATTTTTTCTGAAGACTGAAAAAGGGTCAAAGTCTTCCTTCCTTCCTTCCTTCCTTCCTTCCTTCCTTCCTTCCTTCCTTCCTTCCTTCCTTCCTTCCTTCCTTTCTTTCTCTTTTAATGATATTTTGAGACAGGGTTTCTCTGTGTAACAGCTCTGGCTATCCTGCAACTCACTCTTGTAGCCCAGGCTGGCCTTGAAATCACAGAAATCCACCTGCCTCTGCCTCCCAAATGCTGGAATTAAAGGCGTTCACCACTATCACCTGGCTGAGGCTTTCCTAAACAATTTTAAACAAAATGTAGGCCCACAATACAGATTACTTTATAAACATGATTTCTTTGTTTTAAGCCTCTCATTGAAAATAAATAAAAAATAGTTAATCATTTTACTAGTTATAAGTTCCTATCACTTGTGAAAACATTCTTGATATCTTTTTCTTCTTTACTACTTAAAAAAACATACCTGATATACATGTAAAAACCTCCATGTTATTTCAAGGTAAAAGTTATCAAACCCATAGTCTATAAAAGGCCAATTATCCTTGCAGATATTCATCAAGACTTCAAAATCTTTAGTTAGGCATAGATTTCACTGAACTGAACCATACATGTTGAAACACATTTGGGGTATATAAACTAATATTCAAAATTAATTTAATATTTATTATTATTCTATTCCTACTTTAAAACCTGCATTTGACTATTTTTAACATGAACTGGTTTCTTAACTGAAATAAATGCCAAAAGTGAACACATAGTCATTTAATTACAGTGGATTTTTAAGTCACTCTCCAGGAAGCTAATACACAAATTTACATACTATACTGCCACCCCATGGAAAGGGGAAAAGCAGGAGAAATTTTTCAGTCCAGTAAGAAATTATATCATAAACAATTTTTAAAGACCAAATACAAGCTAAAATAGATTACTTGGAAAAGGGAGGAGTACTGATTGACTTTTGGAAGCAAATGGAAACTAAGATTCTAATATTTAGGCTGAAGGATTAAACTGCAGTGTGTCATCTCAAATGGAAGGTAAGAAATAGGGATTTTAGAATAGCTTCTCTTAGGGATTTCTAACTTCCTGAAGACTTATGCATACTTCAGTTAAGGATCATTCTGCGATAGATTCACAGAAAAAAAAATTACAAAATTTCCCCAGTCTGATCTGAACTCTAATACCATAATATGATAAAGTAGAGGGGGATAAATCTCTCAAAAGGGGAAAGACTGGTTTTTGTTTTGTTTTTAACCAAGCACCACCCTCTCCCATAAAGCAGCACAAGGCTTTGCAAAGATCAAGCCAAATTTACATGAAATGGGTTTGGCGCATGCTCTCTTATACCAGGCAAAGCTTAAACTGAAGTAGTGCTGGAGAGATTTACGTTTTCTCCTCACCAGAAGATGTCGAGGTCTTTGTGGCTCAAAAGCTGAGGGATGCTGCTTCGGAGATGGAAGTCCCTGTGGATGAAGAGGATAATTCGGATGTAGCTAACTGAATGGACTAATGTTCTATTTAAGTTTTAATTATTTATTTGATAGTGGATCACAATGATTTTTTTTAACTAAGCTGTTCTTTAGGTTTTGGTAACTTTAAAGTTTTCCCAGTAGATGTTATTAGTGAATTTATTTGAGGGATTTCTTCATAATGCTTAAAATGTTCATGGAGACAGGTAGTTTTTGTTTGTTTATTTGTTTTTTATATTTTTCAGAGTCTGAAAGGAAAACATGAACCAGGTTTGGTGCATGCTCTCGTGCCAGGAGGAAGGGAAATTTCCTTTGTGTATATTCAGCTACTTACTACTGATCTCTTATTTCGAACCTAATTAGTAAGAAAGATGTGAGTTCCATCTCCTGTGCTTATAAGGCTCTCATTCTTTTAGGACAGTAAAGCTTATTCACTCTGTGGGTGAGGTTTTCCACTCTGATAAATTCAAATTAAATTGAAAAGTTTTATATTTGAGGCAATACTGGCGAATGCCAGTAAATATTTTGACAAATCCTCCCACCCAACTTCTTTCTAGATCATAGGGCTATTTCTGAGCCCATTCATCCTGTCCATAAAAGCATAGGAGAGTGCAGCCCTGCCATCTACATGGTCCTTTTTTCTCTTAGGTTTATTTCTGCTGGTAAAATTTCTAGGACGGGATAATGTCTAAAAGGAGACACAGTAGCACTATGTAGGTAGGATAGTCAGCATTCTGTGGAAGCCATGTCACTACTAAGCTTTGTTCAAACACCTGATATAAAAATTCAACTAAGAAGTGTTCAAACTTTAAAGTGAAATATTTCTATAATTTCTGAATATGAATGCAGAGCCATCTGTCACACAGTTAAAGACATAACTGTAATTCACATTTCAAAATCAGGGGAAGGGGTGCTGAGCAGAACAAGCAATGACAGAATTCAAATAGGAGCACTCACCAACACATTTTTCTGCCAATTCTCCTAAAAAAGCATCAGACAGCTTTGGATTCCAGTCCCTGGTGTGGATCTGTAAGATGTGTTTTCTGGCCTAAGAAGAAGAGTACAGTGGCATAAAACAGCACTGACTTCTTGTGTATTAGCTACAACAAATTCTGACTGCAACCGCACACCAAGCTGTTGTTCGTTTTAAAAGAAACTTAAACACCTTAACATTCACGTTAACCCATGAGTTATAAAAACTAAAATTTTTGTCCCTGTTTCACAAGTTTGAGACAGATAATGTTCTAAGAGGTAAAGAAACTTTAGTGGTGGCATAAAACAGTAAGTAAATCACTAATGTATGATGAAAATTTAAAACAAAGTTTTTACTTTCCTACCATATCATTTTTTTAAATTATTAGAGGGTAGGTAAGGGTGTACATACAAATGTTATACAATAGTAAAACTTTTAGAGTCATTTTATTCCCCCTATACTGGTAGGGTCAAAATCTGTGTTTAGCCTGTTTTTAGATGTTTCAAACTGATACTTGTCTATATCAAAGCAGAAGTACCGAAGTACTTTGGCCCTATAACTTACAATTAAATCCGCCTCTAAGCATTGACACATTCCTGGCGGCTGAACCTGGGCAATGAAAGTGAGACTCCATCCGCCCCCAACCCCACTCCAAGGTTCAGGAAACATCAGAGAAGGGGAGAGGGGCTGGCAAAATAGCTCAGGGGTTAAGAACACTGTCTGCTCTTCTAGAGGAACTAGGTTCAATTCCCAGACCCATATGGCGGATCACAACCGTCAGTAATTCCAATTCCAGGAGATCTGACATCTATACTCACACAGACATACAGGCATTCACACTCACATGTAAATAAAATAGGAAGAAGAAGAAGAGGAGGAGGAGGAGGAGAGGAGCTGGAGGAGAAGGAGGAGGAGGAGGTGGAGGAGGAGGAGGAGGAGGAGGAGGAGGTGGAGGAGGAGGAAGAGGAGGAGGAGGAGGAGGAGGAGGAGG